TAAGTATTTGGTCAATAACAAAAGTTTCTCAATACTTTGTTATATACCCTTTGTTGGCAATGACACAGGTCAAACGTTTTCTGTAAGTCTTCACAAGGTTTTCACACACTGTTGCTGGTATTTTGGCCCATTCCTCCATGCAGATCTCCTCTAGAGCAGTGATGTTTTGGAGCTGTTGCTGGGCAACACGGACTTTCAACTTCCTCCAAAGATTTTCTATGGGGTTGAGATCTGGAGACTGGCTAGGCCACTCCAGGACCTTGAAATGCTTCTTACGAAGCCACTCCTTCGTTGCCCGGGCGGTGTGTTTGGGATCATTGTCATGCTGAAAGACCCAGCCACGTTTCATCTTCAATGCCCTTGCTGATGGAAGGAGGTTTTCACTCAAAATCTCACGATACATGGCCCCATTCATTCTTTCCTTTACACGGATCAGTCGTCCTGGTCCCTTTGCAGAAAAACAGCCCCAAAGCATGATGTTTCCACCCCCATGCTTCACAGTAGGTATGGTGTTCTTTGGATGCAACTCAGCATTTTTTGTCCTCCAAACACGACGAGTTGAGTTTTTACCAAAAAGATTTATTTTGGTTTCATCTGACCATATGACATTCTCCCAATCCTCTTCTGGATCATCCAAATGCACTCTAGCAAACTTCAGACGGGCCTGGACATGTACTGGCTTAAGCAGGGGGACACATCTGGCACTGCAGGATTTGAGTCCCTGGCGGCGTAGTGTGTTACTGATGGTAGGCTTTGTTACTTTGGTCCCAGCTCTCTGCAGGTCATTCACTAGGTCCCCCCGTGTGGTTCTGGGATTTTTGCTCACCGTTCTTGTGACCACGGGGTGAGATCTTGCGTGGAGCCCCAGATCGAGGGAGATTATCAGTGGTCTTGTATGTCTTCCATTTCCTAATAATTGCTCCCACAGTTGATTTCTTCAAACCAAGCTGCTTACCTATTGCAGATTCAGTCTTCCCAGCCTGGTGCAGGTCTACAATTTTGTTTCTGGTGTCCTTTGACAGCTCTTTGGTCTTGGCCATAGTGGAGTTTGTAGTGTGACTGTTTGAGGTTGTGGACAGGTGTCTTTTATACTGATAACAAGTTCAAACAGGTGCCATTAATACAGGTAACGAGTGGAGGACAGAGGAGCCTCTTAAAGAAGAAGTTACAGTTCTGTGAGAGCCAGAAATCTTGCTTGTTTGTAGGTGACCAAATACTTATTTTCCACCATAATTTGCAAATAAATTCATTAAAAATCCTACAATGTGATTTTCTGGATTTTTTTTTCTCAATTTGTCTTTCATAGTTGACGTGTACCTATGATGAAAATTACAGGCCTCTCTCATCTTTTTAAGTGGGAGAACTTGCACAATTGGTGGCTGACTAAATACTTTCCCCCCCACTGTATATATATCTCGGCTTGCATTTTGACTCAGAAAGTGATCTTGACTCAGAAAAGGTTGGTGACTACTGCTCTAGGGCAATTCAGAAAACTGATTGAGGACCTTATTACTGATGAATGTGTTAGTTTTTTATGACCGTGTTTTTCTTTCTGCTTGCATTTTGTATTTATATTGATGTCTGTATTTTCTATAATTTAGGTAATTCAGGGCACATCTGTGAAAGAGACCTTCGTCTCCGTATGACTCCCTGATAAAATGATTTTTATTGCGTCGTCCCACATCCCCTGCTAATTTCCGTGAACTGTGATGAACCCATAACATAGAGGGGTTGTTTTGTAAAGAAAATAAAACTCTCTCTCTCTCACACACAAACACACTATGTATGTTGTGTCAATTGATTGTATGTATTTATGTGGAAGCAGAAGCACTCTGTTGTCCACAGACACACACACACTGTGACTCTTTCCTTTAGTCCAAGAGTCGGTCAGTAAATCACGGTCACTCATGTGCGTCAGTTCAACCATCATGGTCTTACACAGTTAACCCTCTTTGACCTTGGGCCATCAAGGCTTTGTAACATTAACCCCCTTGTCATCAACACCCACCCAGCTGTGGTATATCAAAGTCATACTATCTACATCGCATAGAAGAAGAAGGACTTGTTTAACAACACATCACAGTTTGATGTGCTCTCTGTTGGAGAGCTGTGTTTATCAACAGTAGGGTTTAGGGATGGGCACTGATATTCGAATATCTGAACGGATGTTAGTATTCGATTACTTGAGAGAGTATTAATAAAAAATATTTGTAAAGAAATAGGCCTATTATGTTTTTTAATTGTTTTAAGGCTTTGGCTAAAATTATATTAAATTATCTATGTGACATTGCTACATAACCTACAATGATAGACCATGATATTTGACATTTTAATAAAATAACCGTTTTATTACAGTTTGTATCATAAAATAGACACCGGTAGCCTCCACGTTACACACATGTAGCATGTTATTGTTGGTCAATCAAAGCGCCGCTAGTCAGACGCTCCATATGCAGCAAGTGAAGTGGAAGGTTTCTAATCAACGCAAAATGGAATTAAAATGCATTAGTTAAGTTGGCTAAATGAGGAGTAGGCTACAATGATCAACCAACAGGTAGGCTTTTGTTTCATATGAATGGAGTTGTTGTAGACAAGGATGCCTCAAAATAGCCTCAGTTAGCCTTGCTACTTTAGCTAGCTAGCTTCTTTACAATGATTTGATGCAGTCAAGACAGGCACTACCAGATGGTACAGTATGATAGACAAACTTGTTGCTGCCATAGGTTATCTACTGTAACTAGCATGAGCTGGTTTGGCTACTTTCTCTCTCTCCCACTGTGGCACACACATAAGACTGTCACTCACACCGACCCCTGCTCTTCTATCGCCCCTCCCCCACCCTTCCAAGCAGAGCGCAGTGCACCGGCTCTCTCGCGAGTCGTGCAAGCAAATCTCCATTGAAGTAAAAAAAAAAAAAGTAACATTAAAATCTTTAACATTTATTTCGACCCAATGTGATGCAACAGTAACAATATTGAGTCTCTAGCTTGCCTAAGATACTCTGTATTCATTTTCCCTGTCGGATCGGAATTTCCTGCCAGATTTAGTGCCGCGCTTAATGATTGACGAGACTTCTGCCATGAGCTGATTGGTTGACTAAGTTATGACCAGGAAGAGACCACTTCGCTGAATCGCTAGCAGAGGTGGCTTTATTACAGTTATGTTAGCTTGATGCCAGCAGCTTCTCTACAGAATACTTTGCATAGCCAACAGGCGAAAATGGAAAACGATAGAGCCTGGGCCAAGACTAGAGTGAACCTCGGATTTGCGTTCACAACCTGGAGAGGGCTAGCTAGCTAACGATAGCTAGGGGACTCAAAACCGACAAAGAATTGTCCTTATTTCTGCTGAAAAGGTAAGACATTGCTAGCTAATAGATCTTGCTAGATATAAAGTGATATGTTGCTTTCTCTATTTAGTTGAAAATATGTATGCGAGTGTTTACACTCGCTAGCTGCTATGGATCACTTTTTTTCTTTCTTTTTTAGCATTCGCAGCTAGCTAGCTAGTGTAGCTAGCTTTTTAGCTAGCTGACTCGACTGCAGCATTGGTTGGTTTAATCTGAATATAGAATGTTGCCTCTGGCAATTATTTGTAACAAGCCAGCTATGCCTATATGTGTAATTGTGCTATTTCTGATGTCTGTGTTTTAAAAGCCACACATCTGATTAGTCATGATCCTATTTGATGACGAATCTCTAGCTAGAAAATATCTTTGAACAAAAATACATAATATTTTTCAGTGCTGCTTCAACTGCTACAACTTCGAGGATGCAGTTGGCACACCCCTGAGTGGGGAAGGATCAAATCGAAAAGCACAATCTTTGGCAAAAACAACAGTCTGTTCCATCATTGTATTTCCCCTACCTGGCCAAGAATGTTCCTAATAATAAAGTAGACATCTTCTAATGTTGGGCATCTATATAGCTATAATGTTTTAGGAAAATGAACTGCCCAGGATTAACTTTGAGGATTGATGACATACTGTCCCAATAAATTAGTCTACTGCACAGCGATATTACTGTTTTTATTCTCCCATTTGAGCTGTCTGGACAAGATGCAGATAGTACTAGCTCAAAACCAACACGTGTTGAGTATAAGACTGTAACATGACATTATCTGAAGGACTAGAAGCATTCTTCATTCTGCCTAATAGCCTCCTTCTCCAATGATGCAAAAAAAGAGTAACTCCCTTGATATTAAACTGAATGTATTTAGCCTGGAAATCTAAGACTGATGGTCGTGAAAGACAATTCTGTCATAGTTGTGAAATGGTTAAATTAATGGAGCATGTTTGATTTGTTGTTTATCAAGGTCTTCGTCTGAGCTTGACTACAGCAGCACTTGACTACAACATCAATAATCATCGTCCAGCCATGGTGAACGCTTACGGGAAATGTGTACCTACAGAGTACTCAGAAATGTTGATGAAAGGGGCCTTCAACCAAACATATGAATCATATGTAAATAAGGGACGTTTGTGTGGGCAACAATAAACTTGTGTGAGAAACCATATTTGTGCATTCTTTACCTAGCAGACAGGCATCATTATTGTACTTTTGGAATGGTTTTAGATTTGTTTTACTAAACTGTACACTTTTCCTGAATATCTATGCTCCTAAAGGTCTTCAATCCAAATTAGCATACCTACATGAGGGTAGATATCCAAGAAGACGTATGGACTACCCTGGTGTAAACGCAGTACAACAAGTCGTTTCGATTACAAAGATCAAGTCAGATAAAGGTTTATTGGGAGATAAAGGGAGATAAACAAGAATACAAGGTAGTCTCTGTAACCTTCTCAAAGGAAAACATTCTAGTAGAGTACTGAACTAATCTCACCCAGACCAAATCACTAAAAAACGACTTACAAAGATGTCACCATATGGAATATTTTTCCTAATTGGGATCCAGATAAAGAATACATACAGTATACTTGTGGAAAGTGGTCAACTGTTATGTAGACACATACTTGGTAAATAGAATAGTGCAGTGGCTAAATGGTAGCAGTTGTAAGGTGCAGGAGTCTTTGGATTTAGCAGTCTGTGAATTTGGAGCTGTCTCTGTTGGTACTGCTGGAATGTAAATGGTAGAACAGTTGTCCATGTTCTTATAGTGACGGTGCCTCCTTCCATCCTGCTCACTCATCTGTACAGGAAAAAATACATGTAAACCAAACTGATTTGTAAAATTCAGTAGGCCTACGTTGTCTATTATGTACAACTGCTGTACAAAGAGTTGAGTATCACACTTTCACAATCAATACACAACATCTTGATAATCAATGTAGCTAAATCACCACTTCTATAGATCAAATTAATGTCAATGTGTAGTCTATGATTAGGTTACATTAGGCTACATTTTCTACTTCACAGAGGTATGTTGGCAGAATGCCCACTTAGGTTCTCGAGATCTACTAGCTAGCTAGCTAAGGACAACCGTAGCGCTCGAGAATCCAAGGGGGTCATACAGTGCATTCGGAAAGTATTCAGACCCCTTGACTTTTTCCACATTTTGTTAAGTTACAGCCTTATTCTAAAATGGATTAATAAAAAATGTCCCCTCATCAATCTACACACAATACCCCATAATGACAAAGCGAAAACAGGTTTTTAGGAATTTTTTGCAAATGTTATAAAAAATAAATAAACGTATTTACGTAAATATTCAGACCCTTTGCTATGAGACTAGAATTTGAGCTCAGATGTATCCTATTTCCGTTGATCATCCATGAGATGTTTCTACAACTTGATTGGAGTCCACCTGTGGTAAATTCAATTGATTGGACATGATTTGGAAAGGCACACACCTGTCTATATAAGGTCCCACAGTTGACAGTGCATGTCAGAGCAAAAACCAAGCCATGAGGTCGAATGAATTGCCCGTAGAGCTCCGAGACAGGACTACTACTCACCACAGTTTATGCACTGCAGTGCTAGCTAGCTGTAGCTTAGGCTTTCAGTGCTAGATTCATTCTCTGATCCTTTAAATGGGTGGACAACATGTCAGTTCATGCTGCAAGAGCTCTGATAGGTTGGAGGACATCCTCCGGAAGTTATATAATTACTGTGTAAGTCTATAGAAGGGGGTGAGAACCATGAGCCTCCTAGGTTTTTTTTATTGAAGTCAATGTACCCATAGGAGGACAGAAGCTAGCTGTCCTGCGGCTACACCATGGTGCCATCCTACAGAGTGCTGCTGAGGCTACTATAGACCTTCATTGCAAAACAGTGTGTGTTAATAAATTATTTAGTATAGTTTTATCTAAAAAGGACAACTTTTTTCATGTTTCACTATTTTTATGAAATTCACGGAGGAGGATGGTCCTCCCCTGAGGAGCCTCCACTGCCGACATTGTCCTTTTTCCCTCAATGATCAAGTAGGAGGCAATTTTATTCAACCCGACCGCCACCCACCCGGCCTTCATCCACACAATATTCAATTACCCTAAACCTGCCTGCCCTGTGGATATATCTGCGGGGACTCTGGGTTATGTGTCAATACACGCATCACTAGTTCAGTCTCAGTCTCCCGCAACCAGTCCAGAGCGGATTTTGTCATCCCAGCTATGACCATACGACTACCAATGACAGCTGGCATTTCTGGGAAATCATGTTCAAATCCAAAAACACCAGTACACACACAGTTCAGTTTGAAGTGTTTCCTGTTTCAATGCTCTGCTATAGTCCAGGCAACGGCTCCCACATGGAGTTGCGTGAGTAGTGCAGCAGCGTGTATGTGTATACAGTTGAAGTCGGAAGTTTACATACACCTTAGCCAAATACATTTAAACTCAGTTTTTCACAATTCCTGACATTTGATCCTAGAAAAAAATGCCTCTCTTAGGTCAGTTATGATCACCACTTTATTTTAAGAATTTGAAATATCAGAATAATAGTGATGATTTATTTCAGCTTTTATTTCTTTCATCACATTCCCAGTGGGTCAGAAGTTTACATACACTCAATTAGTATTTGGTAGCATTGCCTTTAAATTGTTTAACTTGGGTCAAACGTTTCGGGTAGCCTTCCACAAGCTTCCCACAATAAGTTGGGTGAATTTTGGCCCAATCCTCCTGACAGAGCTGGTGTAACTGAGTCAGGTTTGTAGGCCTCCTTGCTCGCACACACTTTTTCAGTTCTGCCCACAAATGTTCTATAGGATTGAGGTCAGGGCTTTGTGATGGCCACTCTAATACCTTGACTTTGTTGTCCTTAAGCCATTTTGCCACAACTTTGGAAGTATGCATGGGGTCATTGTCCATTTGGAAGACCCATTTGCGACCAAGCTTTAACTTCCTGACTGATGTCTTGAGATGTTGCTTCAATATATACACCAAATGTTCCTTCCTCATGATGCCATCTATTTTGTGAAGTGCACCAGTCCCTCCTGCAGCAAAGCACCCCCACAGCATGATGCTGCCACCCCCATGCTTCATGGTTGGGATGGTGTTCTTCGGCTTGCAAGCGTTCACCTTTTTCCTCCAAACATAACGATGGTCATTATGGCCAAACAGTTCTATTTTTGTTTGATCAGACCAGAGGACATTTCTCCAAAAAGTACGATCTTTGTGCAGTTGCAAACCATAGACTGGCTTTTTTATGGCGGTTTTGGATCAGTGGCTTCTTACTTGCTGAGCGGCCTTTCAGGTTATGTCGATATAGGACTCGTTTTACACTTGTGGAGGTCTACAATTATTTTTCTGAGGTCTTGGCTGATTTCTTTTGATTTTCCCATGATGTCAAGCAAAAAGGCACTGAGTTTGAAGGTAGGCCTTGAAATACATCCACAGGTACACCTCCAATTGACTCTTATGTCAATTAGCCGATCAGAAGCTTCTAAAGCCATGACATCATTTTCTGGAATTTTCCAAGCTGTTTAAAGGCACAGTCAAGGTATGTAAACTTCTGACCCACTGGAATTGTGATACAGTGAATTATAAGTGAAATAATCTGTCTGTAAACAATTGTTGGAAAAATTACTTGTGTCTTGCACAAAGTAGATGTCCTAAACGACTTGCCAAAACTATAGTTTGTTAACAAGAAATTTGTGGAGTGGTTGAAAAACAAGTTATAATGACTTCAACCTCAGTGTATGTAAGCTTCTGACTTCAATTGTACATGTGTGCTTGAGTAGGGGGAATTGTGTGTGTGTGTGTGTGTGTGTGTGTGTGTGTGTGTACATCAGTGTTTCACAAACTAGGGGTCGTGACCCAGTGTGGGGTCGCCTGATCGTGCTTGGCTCTTAGAATCGGGGTTACGTCAGTAACCTCCAGTAGCCGCTAGATGCGGTTGTAATAAACAGCGGTTTCTGTTTTATTCCTATAAATGTGGCTATCTTTTGAACAAATTAAGCTACAAAATATTATGACCCCATCACTGAAGTATAACACTCTGTTTCACTCTACATTGCCCACAAGCCACGCCGGACTCATTAGAACAGAGTGGACAAGACCAGGCACTTAATCAGACTGGGGGAAAAAGAACATCAATGATGATATTCTTTTATACACAGAAGTTCATACAAAATTATTGCCTGATGATATTCTGAACATATAGCTTTCTGATGCATTACAGTCACTTCAAACCATACTTCCTTCAGATTGAAATACTGTCAAAAGTACTGTCAGTTTGGGAACCCCTGGTGTACATGTATGCATGCGTAGGGGAGTAGTGTGTCCTCCGTTGAACTCCTTCCTCAGTCTTATGTGGATGAAACACTGCTCTGTTCCCACAGTGAATCCAGAACACAACCTTAACCTCAGGACCCAGGACAGAACCTTAACCTCAGAACCCAGAACACATCCTCAACCTCAGAACCCAGAACACAACCTCCATTACATCCCATGTCTCCTGAGTGGTGCAGTGGTCTAAGGCACTGCATCGCAGTGCTAACTGTGCCACTAGAGATCCTGGTTCGAATCCAGGCTCTGTCGCAGCCGGCCGCGACCGGGAGACTCATGGGCGGCACACAATTGGCCCAGCGTCGTCCAGGGTAGGGGAGGGAATGGCCGGCAGGGATGTAGCTCAGTTGATAGAGCATGGCGTTTGCAACGCCAGGGTTGTGGGTTCGATTCCCACGGGGGGCCAGTATAATGTATTCACTAACTGTAAGTCGCTCTGGATAAGAGCGTCTGCTAAATGACTAAAATGTAAATGTAATGTGATGTCTTCCTCTTCCTGGACAGGTTGCTTTCTGACTGTCCCTGGGGCCTTTCTGTCCCTCCCTCCCCTCCACTGTAGTGGTGATTGTCCCTGAGGCCTGAAATTAGAAGAATTATAAAGGGACAAACCTCTCTGTCTCAGTCTTGCCCTCTGGGCTCTGACTGCCACAGTGGTTGTGTGGGGTCCTGGTCTGAGTTCAGAGACACGTTGTTCTTATAAGACGCTTGATATTTACGGTTACTTGGCAATGGAAAGAAAAACACGTTCTGTAGTATATACAGTATTTTGGTAACACTTTATTTTAAGGATCTGTAACAAACCATTTATAAGGTGTCCTCCCGAGTGGCGCAGTGGTCTAAGGCACTGCATCGCAGTGCTAGCTGTGCCACTAGAGATCCTGGTTAGAATCTAGGCTCTGTCGTAGCCGGCCGCGACCGGGAGACCCATGGGGCGGCGCACAATTGGCCCAGCGTCGTCCAGGGTAGGGGAGGGAATGGCTGGCAGGGATGTAGCTCAGTTGGTAGAGCATGGCATTTGCAACGCCAGGGTTGTGGGTTCGATTCCAGTATAAAAAATAAAAATGTATGCACTCACTAACTGTAAGTCGCTCTGGATAAGAGCGTCTGCTAAATGACTAAAATGTAAATGTAAATAAGGTATTTAAATGGTGTGTTCACCATTTATTAATCATTACTCCCGCTTTATAATAATAATAATATGCCATTTAGCAGACGCTTTTATCCAAAGCGACTTACAGTCATGCGTGCATACATTTTTTGTGTATGGGTGGTCCCGGGGATCGAACCCACTACCTTGGCGTTACAAGCGCCGTGCTCTACCAGCTGAGCTACAGAGGACCACAGGACCACAGAGGACCTACAGAGGACCGCTTTAATAAACCATATATTTTTGCAGTCCCTAATGTAAAGTGAGTGCTATTTATACTTTATAAACACTTTATAAATGGCTTAGTGACCACTGTAATTTCTCACAAAAAGATGGGCATGCCATTGGGAGACGTTCCTGCAGTACCTGGTAAAAGAGTAAGCACACAAAACAGGATGTTTAAGGAAATATATACAGTATACATGTGTGAATAACTAGCTTACTAACTTTTACAAATGTGGGAGTAATGATTAATAAATGGTGAGCAAACAGTTTGTAAATGCCATATAAATGATTTGCTCTGGACCCTTAAAATAAAGTGTTACCAGTATTTGTATTGCATCATCCCACATCCCCTTCTCTTTCCCGTGAACTGTGATGAACCAATAACATAGAGGGGTTGTTTTGTAAAGAAAATAAAACTCTCCTTGTCTCCTTTTGTCTGCGGCCCGTATTTGGCGGTGAAATTATATGAAAGGCTTGGTCTACCGACCTTTATTGTGAGGTAATTTACTGTACCTTGCAGGACCTGCTGTGCACATGCATCTCTGTAATTATGATTATTATTATTTTTAAATCAAACGTAAAAGGTTATTCCCTCTCCTTCTGTAGCTCTCTCGTTCTGGGTCTCTCTCTCACACACCTCACGCTTTCGCTCTGTCTCAATCTATTTCTCTCTCTCTCTCTCTCTCTCTCTCTCTCTCTCTCTCTCTCTCTCTCTCTCTCTCTCTCTCTCTCTCTCTCCTCTCTCTCTCTCTCTCTCTCTCTCTCTCTCTCTCTCTCTCTCTCTCTCGTCTCTCTCCTCCTCTCTCTCTCTCTCTCTCCTCTCTCTCTCTCCTCTCCTCTTCCTCCTCCTTCTCTCTCTCTCTCTCTCTCTCTCTCTCTCTAGGTGGATCAAGTTTGAGGAGAAGGTGGAGAAGGGAGGAGAGCGTTGGAGTAAGCCCCACGTGGCCACCTTGTCCCTTCACAGTCTGTTTGAGCTGAAGACATGCATCGAGAAGGGCACCATCCTGCTGGACCTGGAAGCCTCCACTCTACCACAGGTGGTCGGTAAGACAAGTACACCTCCCATAAGCCCCAGTATCTCACTGTACCAGCATACACAAAAACATCAGCCTTTGACTGCGGTACTTTTAGAATTGGGACGTTCCAAAACAGTGCTCTTTGAAACCAAGTGTCCTCAATATTGACCTTCTCTTCATCCCCTTTTGTCTCTCTGTTATCCTCCCCCTCTCTGTTACCCCCCCCTCTCTGTTATCCACCCCCTCCCTCTCTGTTACCCCCCCTCTGTTACCCTCCCCCCTCTCTGTTACCCCCCTCTCTGTTACCCCCCACCTCTCTTTTACCCCCCTCTCTGTTCTCCCAACCCCGCTCTGTTTACCCCCCCTCCTCTGTTACACCGCCCCCCGTTTGCCCCCCTCTCTGTTACCCCGCCCTCTGTTATTCCCCCCCTCTGTTACCCCTCCCTGTTACCCCGACCTCTCTGTTACCCTTCCCCCCTCTCTGTTATCCCCCCTCTCTCGTTACCCCCCTCTCTGTTCCCGCCCCCCCGTTAACCCCCCTCTCTATGTTACCCCCCTCTTGTTATCCCCACTCCCTGTTATACTCTCCCCCCCCTCTATGTTACCCCACTCTCTGTTACCCTCCCCCCCTCTCTGTTACCCCCCCCACTCTCTGTTACCCCCTTCTTCTGTCAGAGTTGATCACTGACAGCCAGATCGAGATCGGTCAGCTGAAGCCCGAGCTGAAGGATCAGGTCATGTACACGTTGCTACGGAAACATCGCCACCAGACCAAGAAGTCCAACCTGCGCTCGCTTGCTGACATAGGCAAGACGGTGTCCAGTGCAAGTAGGCTGTTTTCCAACCAAGACCAGAACGGTAATGCAGATGCCAGTTTGGTGCAGCCTTTTATTTTAATTTTTTTGCCTCCTACTTCCTACCTTGTCCCAATCAATTCTACCAATCACATATTTTTTCCTCTGTTGGTCATCAATACTATAGGATAAGGTGTAGTGTATGTTCAACTTTATATACCATCATTTGAGTGCAGTAAAGATGTTATAGGTACATATATCTAGGTGGCTATAGTTTTAACTATTAATAATGTGAATGTGACCTGCAACACTCAGGTTTACAAGAATCCTGATGCTTGTTTTTTTCTTCTTCAAAATACTACTATCTCTGAAATGTATTCAGACTTGCATATCATAATATAAAGCATGTGATTTAATTATTTATAAGACCATAACTGTTTGGATGGCCATTCAAAATAATATGGTACTGCAATTTGAAGTGTGTGAGATTGTTCTAGTTTTCTGTCTTCTATCTGTACTCACTGTCCTGCACAGACTTACATTCCCTCATGTTCTCTTCACTTTTTTCCTGCCTGCCTGCCTGCCTTCCTTCCTTTCTTCCGCCACTCCATCTCTCTCTCACCCTCTCTCTCTTTATCTCTCTGTCTGCACTAAAGCACGCAGTCTCAATGATCAACCCCAGCCCTTTCCCCACTTGCACCCCCAGTCCCAACCCCAGTCTGTGCCTTATGCAACCACGCTTGGCCCTGAGGAACCGATAAAGGAGATCCAAAGGAGCTCCAGCATGCAATACATCAGTAAGTCAGGTCAGAACACATTTATAACACATGGGATAACTAGGTAAGTTAGGTTATAATGCATTTATAACATGGGATAACGGTCAGTAATGCATTTATAACATGGATACGTCAGTAGTCAGGTCAACACATAACACATGGGATAACTAGGTAAGTTAGGTTATAATGCATTTATAACACATGGGATAACTAGGTAAGTCAGGTTATAATGCATTTATAACATATGGGATATGGCAGTAAGTAGGGTCAGAACACATTTATAACACATGGGATACGTCAGTAAGTCAGGTCAGAACACATTTATAACATATGGGATATGTCAGTCAGTCAGGTTATAATGCATTTATAACATGGGATACGTCAGTAAGTCAGGTTAGAACACATTTATAACACATGGGATAACTAGGTAAGTTAGGTTATAATGCATTTATAACACATGGGATAACTAGGTAAGTCAGGTTATAATGCATTTATAACATATGAGATATGGCAGTAAGTAATAATAATAATAATATGCCATTTAGCAGACGCTTTTATCCAAAGCGACTTACAGTCATGCGTGCATACATTTTTGTGTATGGGTGGTCCCGGGGATCGAACGCACTACCCTGGCGTTACAAGCGCCGTGCTCTACCAGCTGAGCTACAGAGGACCAGTAGGGTCAGAACACATTTATAACACATGGGATACCTCAGTAAGTCAGGTTATAGCACATTGGGTCCCTTTAAGTCAGGTTCTAATGCATTATAACACCCTAGTGTGGGATACTTTTGTAAGTTGGGTTATAACACTCATATACAGAGTTTATAAGAGGTTATAACACATACCTTGACAGTAGTCTATGTGCCAAGACAATTTGCGATCCACACATATTGCTGATATGAGCATTGATGACTGAAAACAATACTGTCATGAGTATACTCTCATGGGATATCACAATCAGTCCAACATTTTTTTATGTTTTTATTTTAAAGGGCATCATCAAACAGCATCTAAGTCACAGTCCTTCATGCCCAGAGAAACAGCAAACAACCAATTAGCTAATGTAGACCCTACTCGGCTATTGACCAACTTTGTCAGGTTATCACAACTCAAACGCAAAGTCAGCCTTCTCACTGAGTCTGATACTGCCGGCTAAAAGAGGCTAAAGGAAAATGCCTATCTCTCCCACCAACCCCACCATTGACTACTAATGCTCTATCTGCTCTGCCGTGCCAGTGAGTGACCAGTTGGCATCAGATCAGTGAAAGACAGGGCACGGCAGTGGGAGATTTCAGGCAGTAGATCTGATCCACTGCCTTTGGCATCGGCCCGAAAGCTTAACTAAGCCCTTGCTGCCTTCCACATTTATATTAGGCCTTGTGAAGTTTCTGTTTCTCTTCATCTTCTGTTTCTCTTCATCTCCTTCTCTGAGATCAGTCTAATCTAACTGGGTCTCTGTCTTTTCTGGGAGTTGCGCTCTACCTTTCATCCCAGTGAGTTTGTTTGACCCCTGGGTTGTGTTCATTAGGCACCAAACGGAAGAAAACAGACTGAAATGGGGAAAGACTGCCTGGTCCAATAAGAAACACTCACTTCTGTTTCAGAAAGCTTTAAAACAGTTTTCTGGTTTTTTTTGCCCTAATGAACACGACCCTGGTGAACCCTCTCAGGTCTGGTCTTTGACCTCTGACCTCTGATCCCACAGGTAGCCCAGCCACAGCCCATCGGAACCTGACCTCCAACAGCCTCAATGACTTCTCTGACCAACCAGATAGAGACCAGGTGAGGATATTACTGTGTGTGTGAGAGATCTAAGCGGGACCTTTAGGAAGCGATGGCTGTTCTCCGGGCACTCTAAATCTTAGCTCCCACTGTAACAATATGCAGGGTCAAGGAGTCGACACAGTTTGTGTGTTCCAAGAGGTGTGTGTGGGAACCAGAGCAAGGCCTCACTCTACTGATAAAGTCTATGAGCCTCACACACGACGATAAGAGCCCTGACTCGCTCTCTCTTAAGTGTTTGGTAACAATGTTGCCACTCCTCCTGAAGCCTGCTGAAACTACACAGACACAATAACTAACTCCTGGAATTACACTTACAACAGTAGCTAATTTGTAAAATTGATCTGGCCTTTGATAAAACACCAAGGCCTTGCTTAGTTAATCATCTCCTTACACCCGAGGTCTCTGGTTGCTTAAGTTTTATGCATTTCACTGTGACTAAGTACTCAGTGTACCACTTGGACCTTAGGTTGAATTTAGCAGTGTATTAAGAGATTAAGATTAATATCACTTTAGTTCCAACTGAAATGTGACTTCCGTTTTATCCCAACCCCTCCCAAAGACATGCATACATATACAGGTTGGAGCAGGGGGTGCCACACTGGGCGCCCGTGGAGCAGTTGTTGTGGGAGGTTAAGTGCCTAGCTCAAGGGCACAACGGCAGACAATGGCATCTAGGATTTGATACCTGCAACCCTCCAGTTTCCAGCTCACTTCCTGCCTGATTATTTTGTTGCTACCTCATTCTCATTACATTGTATGTAGACTGGATCAAGTGTATATCAGCAATGAACAGAAAGGGCTTTATTATGTCTTGTTAATCATACTGCTTGTGACATAGTGACTCACAGAGCGGTAAAGATGCTTTAATCTGTTTCTAAAGAAGCTACCAACTGCAGTGGTGTTGCCACACAATACAGCATATAATGACTATGTGCCGGGGACGGGCTGTACTCTGCTGCCCCATTTCATCCATGCAACTGTGTACAACTTTGGGGCATGTGACATGTCAATTGTTAGAGTACCTTTACTGCTCTTCTCATACTACTTTGATAAGGACAGTATTTTCAAGCACCGTGTCTTTTGAATAGAGCAACTCTTTAGATGTGTGTCAAGGCTCATTGCTTTCCTCCTTTTTCTTTTCTCTCACTCTATATTTGTGCATGTTCCTCTCTCTCTCTCTCTCTCTCTCTCTCTCTCTCTCTCTCTCTCTCTCTCTCTCTCTCTCTCTCTCTCTCTCTCTCTCTCTCTCTCTCTCTCTCTCTCTCTCTCTCTCTCTCTCTCTCTCTCTCTCTCTAGCTGAAGAATAAATTGATGAAGAAGCTTCCACGTGATGCCGAGGCGTCTAACGTCCTGGTCGGAGGGGTGGACTTCCTGGACACACCCTTCGTGGCGTTTGTCCGTCTGCAGCAGGCTGCCATGTTGGGAGGTCTGACAGAGGTCCCCGTCCCCACCAGGTACCCTACTGATCGCCATCACACCACAACTAAACAAACACAGCAAATATACCACATATCTATCTCATAGATATCTCATAGAGGCTGAATGGGACTCTATTTATAGAGTTTAGTGACCATGATTGGTACTGTATTTATAGAGACTAGTGACCATGATTGGTACTGTATTTATAGAGACTAGTGACCATGATTGGTACTGTATTTATAGAGACTAGTGACCATGATTGGTACTGTATTTATAGAGACTAGTGACCATGATTGGTACTGTATTTATAGAGACTAGTGACCATTATTGGTACTGTATTTATAGAGACTAGTGACCATGATTGGTACTGTATTTATAGAGACTAGTGACCATGATTGGTACTGTATTTATAGAGACTAGTGACCATGATTGGTACTGTATTTATAGATACTAGTGCCCATGATTGGTACTGTATTTATAGAGACTAGTGACCACCGGTTATATCCAATTAGGGCTTTTTATTGAACATCCTTCTGCTTTTCTCTTCATCTCCTTTTAGGTTCCTGTTCGTGCTGCTAGGGCCCAAAGGCAAAGCCAAGTCCTACCATGAGATTGGACGAGCTATTGCCACCCTCATGTCTGATGAGGTACGTGACCACCGTGTCCAACACGCTTATAGAGTGCCTGGTGAAAGGCTACACACCCCTTGAACAGTTGTCACATTTTGCTGCCTTAAAATTTGATCTAAAAGGGGATGACATTTTTTTTTCTTCCTACAGATCTACAACTGTGTGTGTGTGTGTGTGTGTGTATATGCATGTGTATATATATATATATATATATACATATACACACACACACACACACACACACACACAGTTGTAGATCTGTAGGAAGAAAAAAAAATGTCATCCCCTTTTAGATCAAATATATATATATATATATATATATATATATATATATATATATATATATATATATATATATATATATATATATATATATATATATAGACACACACAGTGGGGAGAACAAGTATTTGATACACTGCCTATTTTGCAGGTTTTCCTACTTACAAAGCATGTAGAGGTCTGTAATTTTTATCATAGGTACACTTCAAAGAAAATCACATTGTATGATTTTTAAGTAATTAATTTGCATTTTATTTCATGATATAAGTATTTGATCACCTACCAACCAGTAAGAATTCCGTCTCTCACAGACCTGTTAGTTTTTCTTTAAGAAGCCCTCCTGTTCTCCACTCATTACCTGTATTAACTGCACCTGTTTGAACTCGTTACCTGTATAAAAGACACCTGTCCACACACTCAATCAAACAGACTCCAACCTCTCCACAATGGCCAAAACCAGAGAGCTGTGTAAGGACATCAGGGATAAAATTGTAGACCTGCACAAGGCTGGGATGGGCTACAGGACAATAGGCAAGCAGCTTGGTGAGATGGCAACAACTGTTGGCGCAATTATTAGAAAATAGAAGAAGTTCAAGATGACGGTCAATCACCCTCGGTCTGGGGCTCCATGCAAGATCTCACCTCGTGGGGCATCAATGATCATGAGGAAGGTGAGGGATCAGCCCAGAACTACATGGCAGGACCTGGTCTTAGACCTGAAGAGAGCTGGGACCACAGTCTCAAAGAAAACCATTAGTAACACACTACGCCGTCATGGATTAAAATCCTGCAGCGCACGCAAGGTCCCCCTGCTCAAGCCAGCGCATGTCCAGGCCCGTCTGAAGTTTGCCAATGACCATCTGGATGATCCAGAGGAGGAATGGGAGAAGGTCATGTGGTCTGATGAGACAAAAATAGAGCTTTTTGGTCTAAACTCCACTCGCCGTGTTTTGAGGAAGAAGAAGGATGAGTACAACCCCAAGAACACCATCCCAACCGTGAAGCATGGAGGTGGAAACATCATTCTTTGGGGATGCTTTTCTGCAAAGGGGACAGGACGACTGCACCGTATTGAGGGGAGGATGGATGGGGCCATGTATCACGAGATCTTGGCCAACAACCTCCTTCCCTCAGTAAGAGCATTGAAGATGGGTCGTGGCTGGGTCTTCCAGCATGACAACGACCCAAAACACACAGCCAGGGCAACTAAGGAGTGGCTCCGTAAGAAGCATCTCAAGGTCCTGGAGTGGCCTAGCCAGTCTCCAGACCTGAACCCAATAGAAAATCTTTGGAGGGAGCTGAAAGTCTGTATTGCCCAGCAACAGCCCCGAAACCTGAAGGATCTGGAGAAGGTCTGTATGGAGGAGTGGGCCAAAATCCCTGCTGCAGTGTGTGCAAACCTGGTCAAGACCTACAGGAAACGTATGATCTCTGTAATTGCAAACAAAGGTTTCTGTACCAAATATTAAGTTCTGCTTTTCTGATGTATCAAATACTTATGTCATGCAATAAAATGCAAATTAATTACTTAAAGATCATACAATGTGATTTTCTGGATTTTTGTTTTAGATTCCGTCTCTCACAGTTGAAGTGTACCTATGATAAAAATTACAGACCTCTACATGCTTTGTAAGTAGGAAAACCTGCAAAATCAGCAGTGTATCAAATACGTGTTCTCCCCACTGTATATACACACACACATACTACATACTACATACGCTCACACACACAAAACACACACACACATGCATATTGACGCCACACACACACACACACACACAGACATAGACACTCTTTTACACTCTTCACATACACTGCTGCTACTCTGTTTATTATCTATCCTGATTGCCTGGTCACTTTTACCCCTACCTACATGTACATATTACCTCAACTACCTCGTACCCCTGCACATTGACTCGGTACCGGTTCTCCTTGTGTATAGCCTCGTTATTGTTATTTTATTGTGTTACTATTTAATATTTTTATTTAGCAAATGTTTCGTACATTTCAACTGCATTTTGGGGAAAGAGCTCGTAAGTACGCATTTCACGGTAAAGTCCACCTGTTGTATTCGGCGCATGTGACTACAACATTTTTATTTGATTTTGAACCTGCTCCACATTTTGTGAAAAAAATAAGTATAGAACATTTTCTATAATAAAATTGATTTTGTATATGTCTTCACACCCCAGAGTTAATACTTGGTAGAAGCTACCTTTGACCGCAAGTAGAGCTGTAAATCATTTTGTGTAAGATTCTGCCAACTTTGCACAACTCTTAGGGAAACATATATCCATTGATTTTGTCAAAATTGCTCAAGCTTAGTAAATTTGGTCAGGAATCATTGATGGACAGCAATATTCAAACTTTATCTCTGATTTTCAAGCAGATTTAAGTCAGGACTGAGACTGGACCCCTCCAGTTAACCATACTGCACCTGACTCACGTTCCCACAGGTCATAGCCACACCCCTTGCCTCTATCCACACTGATGGAATTAGAGAGGGACTTTCCCCCCCAGGATTTCCTTAAGTTACAGTTGAACTAAATCGTCAGCATCCCTGTGAACGCTCAGTCCCATGGAGAGCTTTATCTGACTGACTGTGGCTCTGAGTGATCCGACCTGGCCTGGGTGGCCCAACACTCTGTCTGAGATTTACAGAGATACTCTGGGGGCAATAAGATATAATGGCAAATGGCTTATATAGATGGGATAAGTGATTACAAACACACCATCTGGAAGTGATGATGATTGGGGATAATGATAATGATTGGGATCCAATTACTCACAATATCAGGAAGAGGCAAGTGTGAAACAAGAAATGATTAGTTGTGTGCTGGTGTTGATGTTAACATGGTTTCTGATTGGTTGTGTTGTGGTCAGGTGATCCATGACAAGGACAGACAGGACCTGCTGTGGTTTTCATTGGTTATGTGGGGAAGTGACATAGCTGATGTTGATGTTAACATAGTTTATGATTGGTTGTGTGCTTGTGTTGATGTTACCTTGGTTTCTGATTGGTTGTGTGGGGTCAGGTGTTCCATGACATTGCCTACAAGGCCAAGGACAGACAGGACCTGCTGGCGGGCATTGAGGAGTTCCTAGATGAGGTTATCGTCCTACCTCCTGGGGAGTGGGACCCTGACATCAGGATAGAACCTCCCAAGTCCCTGCCCTCCTCAGACAAGAGGTACAGTACTGCCACAGACACCTCTAGTCCTAGTACAGTTGCATAATTCTGTAAATTGTCCTAGTTCCAGAAAATAACTTAAATTGTGCATGTTTCCTTGGGTGCTCATGATGGACCTTCAGCAATGTGTTGGAGAGTGATGTCTGTGGGTTAACCTGCTGTGTGTGACTGTATAGGAAGAATCAGTATAATGCTGGAGGCGGAGGGGATGGGCCCCAGATGAACGGGGACACGCCGGGACATGACGGGGGTCAAGGAGGAGGAGGGGGACATGGACATGTTGGAGAAGAGCTCATGAACACTGGAAAGTAAGGATGACACTGTTCATTACCACTAGCCTAGTCCATAGCGTAGTATTGAATAACAGAGCAGTTTTCAACTGTTGCCAATACCATCCAGTGGAGGCTGCTGAGGGGAGGATGGCTCATAATAAAGGAGTATATGGAATGGCATCAAACACATGGAAACCATGCATTTGATACCATTCCATTTATTCCGCTCCAGCCATTACCACGTGCCCGTCCTCCCCAATTAAGGTGCCACCAACCTCCTGTGATACCAACATGTAGTACAGTGACAAAATGTCACTCAGCAGGGCCTCAACTCTCGCTGGTATTAGTGCTAAAATAATGTACTATAACACTAAAGAATTCCATTGAAAAGCATGAGCTGGCTCACACCCAAATTAGTTAGTAGAGGTGCTGACTAACAGCGAGTAAACTGTAGGCTATGAAAATAAAGACAGTCACAGGCTATATACAGTACAAGCGCCCAGTAAGTTATTGGGTAAACCACCAACGGTTCGGCATCACTGTGCCTTCTTCAGGGTGAAAGTATTTCAGAAAATAACACCTCAGGTGTGTGGCCAAAACAAGCCACTATTTACCGTTGCCTTTTAGTTACGCTATGTGCCAGACACTGATTTGTGATGAGACGGCATCCTTAGTAGTCTCGTAAAGCAGACATAGCTACGCTCACCAAAACAGAATGGGGATCATAGCAATCCGTCTGCTTTATGAGGCTACATCTTTAGATTATTTGCCAATAATAAAGACTTTATGGCATAAATGGAGCTGTCACATTTTCATTGTTAAGGTTTTGCGGCGGCCTCATCCTGGACATCAAGCGAAAGCTGCCGTTCTTCGCCAGTGATTTCTACGACGCCATTCACATCCAGTCGCTGTCCGCCATCTTGTTCATCTACCTGGGCACCGTGACCAACGCCATCACCTTCGGCGGGTTGCTAGGAGATGCTACGGAAAACATGCAGGTGAGTCTGTCTCTGTTTTCTCTTCTCGAAACAGAAGCAGTTGAAAGAAGTAAAACAAATATCTAATTCAAGCATAACTGAATGGAAGTAATGGCAAAGACTTGACTGTGTCCTGATTCTCCACCCTTTTAACAAAGTGTGCACTTTAATACTTTCTGACATGGATATAAAATCATTGGATTGGTGTAATCATTGGCTAGTGTGAGTTTCCACCATTGTTAAATCCATGACCAGCATATTGTCGCTGTCTGATGAAAACCTTGTAACTACATAACTCCCCTAAATGTACTCTGAACATTTCAAGACTCTAGGACCAAGACAATGTATTCAAAATAGCTTCTGAAGTTTGGTTATTGTATGTTCGTTAATGGTAAAATATGGCAATTTTTTTAAATTTCCTGAAAAGTTGGTATGTTTTGGAGAGGTTTTTCATCAGACAGTGAAGATATATTTTTATCGCTATGTGATCTGACCAGGTGACATGATTAGGGAGAACTCCTGACCCTAAAAACACACATGCACAGCCTCCCCCCGGATGTGTCGGTCAAGGAAGGCATGCACAGGGAGGGCTGGCCTGATGGGATTTGGCTGCTCTGGAAATAACCACAGATCCAGATTACTCAGCTAGCCTCGTCACTGCCCCATCTCCCCCTCCCCCATCCTCCCCATTGCATGAGAGAAGGGGAAGGGAATCCCTCCCCTGACCTCTGACCTTTCCCAGAAGCCTTAGCTGTCCAAGCCACAGGAGCACAGTGTTCCAGGTAGCGCAGCTCTGATCCTGCATCCCAGCTGTCCACTGTCTCCCACCCAGGCCTGGATATGCTGTGGAAAAGACACCTAGTAAAAACACATGATCTCACAATGTGAACTTGAACAGGGCTGTCTGTCCTGATGGGCCAGTATAACAGCTCTGTGTGTGTTTCTGGAGCTGTGTGATGGGGGAAATGGAGATCTTGCTGAATCGGCAGATTGATATCATGATGTGGTTAGCTTCAAGACAATTGCACACTTGACAATTTCCAGTTCCCATACATACACAGAAGCTAAATGTATTTCTTTAGATTATAACAAATGTGACCATATGCTTCCTTTTATTTGTGAGGGTAAGGTACCAGAGCAGTAGTTTGGAACCAGACCTTGCCGCCAGTCTTCCACCAATTGCTCTCCGGTCCAGTCCCACTTGGTTTAGACATATGCAACAGTGGGTTGGAATGTGGCCATCACAGTTTACTCTGTATCCTTGACCTTTAACCCCACCAAGACACCCCACTAACACTTTCCATGGATTTGGGACAAACATATCCATCTGCGTGTCTTTATGTCTGTCTCTATCTGTATACTTTGACTCACCAGCCCCTTTGTGTCTCCTCTCCTGTTTTCCAGGGTGTGTTGGAGAGTTTCCTGGGCACGGCACTGACGGGGGCCATATTCTGCCTGCTGGCTGGCCAGCCTCTCACCATCCTCAGCAGCACAGGTCCTGTACTGGTGTTTGAAAGGCTCCTCTTCAACTTCAGCAAGTGAGCTCTCTCACTTCTGCATTATGAGCACCACATATATTGATACTTCATCTCTCTCTCACTCACTCACTCACTCAATTAATTAAATGAAATTTAAATTCAAAGGGCTTTATTGGCATGAGAAACATATGTTTACATTGCCAAAGGAAGTTAAATGGATAATAAACAAAAGTGAAATAAACAATAGAAAATGAACAGTAAACATTACACTCACAAAAGTTTCAAAGGAATAGAGACATTTCAAATGTCATATTATGACTATATACAGTGTTGTAACGATGTCTCTATGTCTGTCTGTCTATCGCTCTGTCTGTCTCTGTCTGTTTCTCTGTCACGTTCTCTCTCTCTCTCTCTCTCTCTCTCTCTGTGTGTGTCTGTCTCTCTCTCTCTGTGTGTCTGTCTCTCTCTCTGTCTCTCTTATATTTAAATGACCAAACATTAGGAACACCTTCCTGGATGTCCTTTAGGTGGTGGACCATTCTTGATACACACAGGAAACTGTTGAGCGTGAAAAACCAGGCAGAGTTGCAGTTCTTGACACAAACCAGTGCGCCTGGCACCTACTACCATACCCTGTTTAAAGGCATTTACATGTTTTGTCTTGTCTATTCACCCTCTGAATGGCACACATGCATAATCTATGTCTCAATTGTCTCAAGGCTTAAAAATCATTTTTTTACCTGTCTCTTCCCCTTCATCTACACTGATTGAAGTGGATTTAACAAGTTACATCAATAAGGGATCATAGCTTTCACCTGGATTCACCTGGTCTATGTCATGGAAAGAGCAGGTGTTCTTAATGTTTTGTATACTCAGTGTATGTGTCTGTGAGAGAATTCAATAGAAGTAAAACAAATTAGCAGCTATAATGGTCCTAGGGATGTTTTCAGAGTTGGACTGTTGTTGTGAGGATTACCAGTGGTAGAGTATGTGGAAGTGGCTCAAGGGTTACCATGGTGCCCTCCAAATATCCTAACCCCAACCCCAACCACATGTGTTTAGTGTTCCTTTTGGGCAGCGCAACATGTTGCTTTTTGATTGACAACCTCTGGCTTCCTGTTTCCTTAAAAAAAAAAATTGAGTTAAAGAAAAAAAAACGATACTGAACAAATATATAAAAGCAACATGCAACAATTTCAACGATTTAACGAGATACAGTTCATATAAGGAAATCAATCAATTGAAATTAATTAATTAAGCCCTAATCTATGGATTTCACATGACTGGGCAAGGGCGCAGGCCATGGTTGGGCCTGGGAGGGCATAGGCCCACCCACTTGGGAGCCAGGCCCACCCACTGGGAAGCCAGGCCCAGCCAATCAAATTGGAGTTTTTCCCCCACAAAAGGGCTTTATTACAGGCAGAAATACTCCTCAGTTTCGTCAGCTGTCCGGGTGGCTGGTCTCAGACGATCCCGCAGGTGAAGATGCCGGATGTGGAGGTCCTGGGCTGGCATGGTTACACGTGGTCTGCGGTTGTGAGGCTGGTTGGACGTACTGCCAAATTCTCTAAAACGACGTTGGAGGCGGCTTATGGTCGAGAAATGAACATACAATTCTCGGGCAACAGCTCTGGTGGAAGTTCCTGCAGTCAGCATGCCAATTGCACACTCCCTCAACTTGACATCTGTGGCATTGTGTTGTGTGACAAAACTGCACATTTTAGAGTGGCCTTTTATTGTCCCCAGCACAAGGTGCACCTGTGTAATGATGATGCTGTTTAATCAGCTTCTTGATATGCCACACCTGTCAGATGGATGGATTATCTTGGCAAAGGAGAAATGCTCACTAACAGGGATGTAAACAAATTTGTGCTCAAAATTTGAGAGAAGCTTTTTGCGCATATCGAACATTTCTGGGATCTTTTATTTTAGCTCATGAAACATGGGACTAACACTTTACCTGTTGCATTCATATTTTTGTTCAGTATAATAATTCTCATGATAGACATAAACAATACAGTGAGGGAAAAAAGTATTTGATCCCCTGCTGATTTTGTACGTTTGCCCACTGACAAAGAAATGATCAGTCCATCATTTTAATGGTAGGTTTATTTGAACAGTGAGAGACAGAATAACAACAACAAAATCCAGAAAAACGCATGCCAAAAATGTTATAAATTGATTTGCATTTTAATGAGGGAAATAAGTATTTGACCCCCTCTCAATCAGAAAGATTTCTGGCTCCCAGGTGTCTTTTTATACAGGTAACGAGCTGAGATTAGGAGCACACTCTTAAAGGGAGTGCTCCTAATCTCAGCTTGTTACCTGTATAAAAGACACCTGTCCACAGAAGCAATCAATCAATCAGATTCCAAACTCTCCACCATGGCCAAGACCAAAGAGCTCTCCAAGGATGTCAGGGACAAGATTGTAGACCTACACAAGGCTGGAATGGGCTACAAGACCATCGCCAAGCAGCTTGGTGAGAAGGTGACAACAGTTGGTGCGATTATTCGCAAATGGAAGAAACACAAAATAACTGTCAATCTCCCTCGGCCTGGGGCTCCATGCAAGATCTCACCTCGTGGAGTTGCAATAATCATGAGAATGGTGAGGAATCAGCCCAGAACTACACGGGAGGATCTTGTCAATGATCTCAAGGCAGCTGGGACCATAGTCACCAAGAAAACAATTGGTAACACACTACGCCGTGAAGGACTGAAATCCTGCAGCGCCCGCAAGGTCCCCCTGCTCAAGAAAGCACATATACAGGGCTGTCTGAAGTTTGCCAATTAACATCTGAACGATTCAGAGGAGAACTGGGTGAAAGTGTTGTGGTCAGTTAAGACCAAAATGGAGCTCTTTGGCATCAACTCAACTCGCCATGTTTGGAGGAGGAGGAATGCTGCCTATGAGCCCAAGAACACCATCCCCACCGTCAAACATGGAGGTGGAAACATTATGCTTTGGGGGTGTTTTTCTGCTAAGGGGACAGGACAACTTCACCGCATCAAAGGGACGATGCACAGGGCCATGTACCGTCAAGTCTTGGGTGAGAACCTCCTTCCCTCAGCCAGGGCATTGAAAATGGGTCGTGGATGGGTATTCCAGCATGACAATGACCCAAAACACACGGCCAAGGCAACAAAGGAGTGGCTCAAGAAGAAGTACATTAAGGTCCTGGAGTGGCCTAGCCAGTCTCCAGACTTTAATCCCATAGAAAATCTGTGGAGGGAGCTGAAGGTTCGAGTTGCCAAACGTCAGCCTCGAAACCTTAATGACTTGGAGAAGATCTGCAAAGAGGAGTGGAACAAAATCCCTCCTGAGATGTGTGCAAACCTGGTGGCCAACTACAAGAAACGGCTGACCTCTGTGATTACCAACAAGGGTTTTGCCACCAAGTACTAAGTAATGTTTTGCAAAGGGGTCAAATACTTATTTCCCTCATTAAAATGCAAATCAATTTATAACATTTTTGACATGCGTTTTTCTGGATTTTTGTTGTTATTCTGTCTCTCACTGTTCAAATAAACCTACCATTAAAATTATAGACTGATCATGTCTTTTTCAGTGGGCAAATGTACAAAATCAGCAGGGGATCAAATATTTTTTCCCTCACTGTATGAATATAATCTGCGATCATACTTTAGCCATTGTTTTGGGCTCAATTTGTATCTGGAACAAACCATTTTATTCACAGTAACAAACAAACTGCCCTTGGTTCCGTTGCCAGGCTGATTGTCCCTTCATTTCCCCTGCGTCCTGCTCGCTACTTCCTACTTCCTTGTCTGAATGGGGTCACTGGTTTCAGACCTGCTCCCACACGGACCAGACCAGAGCAGAATTCTCTTCTCTTCTTTCTCCTCTCTCTTCTCTCTCTTCTTTCTCTTCCTCCTTACCACACCTTCTCATGCCATCCCAGAGAGTAGACCGTCTTCTAGCGTTACATTACAGACAACACTGTTATGTTCCGTTATGAATCATTTACATTAATTTAATGTCACACCGTGAATGGAGACTACCAACGCTGAGCCGACGGCGCCATGTTTCCTCGGGTCGGGTCTGAGCCTATGCCACCATGCCCTCCACTGCTTTGTGTGCTGGATTTACAGCCTCCATCTGTCTTTCTGTCTGTACTCTGATACACACAAAACACGCATACATGCTGTGAAAACATTGATATTTGGATAGGAACTTCCAAGTGCCTTGGAAGGGACTTCCGGGTTCAATAAAGGTTAATACATTAATATTAAACCATGGTTCTACCATCTCTCCGACCTCTCCCGCTACAGAGACCATGACTTTGACTACCTGGAGTTCAGGCTGTGGGTCGGCCTGCTCTTAGAGTACCTAACCATGGTCGTACCTTCACTCTCTCTCTCTCCCCTCCAGAGACCGTGACTTTGACTACCTGGAGTTCAGGCTGTGGGTCGGCCTGCTCTTAGAGTACCTAACCATGGTCGTACCTTCACTCTCTCTCTCTCCCCTCCAGAGACCGTGACTTTGACTACCTGGAGTTCAGGCTGTGGGTCGGCCTGCTCTTAGAGTACCTAACCATGGTCGTACCTTCACTCTCTCTCTCTCCCCTCCAGAGACCGTGACTTTGACTACCTGGTGTTCAGGCTGTGGATCGGCCTGCTCTTAGAGTACCTAACCATGGTCGTACCTTCACACTCTCTCTCTCCCCTCCAGAGACCATGACTTTGACTACCTGGAGTTCAGGCTGTGGATCGGCCTTTGGTCAGCCTTCTTCTGCCTGGTGCTGGTTGCCACAGATGCCAGCTCCCTGGTCAAGTACTTCACACGCTTCACAGAGGAGGGCTTTTCTTCCCTCATCTCCTTCATCTTTATCTACGACGCCTTCAAGAAGATGCTGAAGCTGGCCCACTACAACCCCATCAACGCTGACTATGACCCCAACTACGTCACAACGTACGACTGCCGCTGCATGCCCCCACCGGACGACGGTACGCTGATCAACACTGTGCTCATTTGCTGTTTTGTAGTTTAAACCAATCAGATCAGGAAGTGCTAATGATTAAGGTGGCCCTGTCCAGGTGACAACAGGGGTGTAGCTACCGAAGAGGGTTTGGCCCATATACATTTAATCTCTTTATGGTTCTGTGGTTTGGCCTGTGTTTCTTGGGCTCTCAAATTGCTCTAACTTTTTGTCGGTGAACTCACGTCCCATTGCTGTCGGTATAGTCCAGAAAACAAACATTACACAATTTTTCGCAGTATTTTAACTGGAGATAATCACATGGTCCAAGTATGTGTTCACTTAAGAGATATCACCGTGTACTCTCTCAACAGTTTTATCAGGTCCTGTTTAGTGAGCAACTTGGCAGGTTTCTGTGGTTGGGATGAGATGTGGTGACTGAGCCAAACTAGCGTTAAGATTTATCCTCAGAGGCTCGGAGTAAAGATAGACCACAGGCTGTCGTTTTTAATGGAGACAAATGAGTCATAGTGGGCAGAACAAGCAAGGAGGTGGGCAGAGCTAACCACGAGCTAGCGAGATCCTATTGGCGCGTTCTAGCATATATCTGCATATTTCCGTTTGGGAAGTGCGTGGGTGCAATAACTCAATTCGCCTTTGCACTCCTTCTAAACAACGTGATTTAAAAAAACAGTTGCAAAGGGTTTAGTCTACAAAATGTTGTCCGCTCTGTTCATAACAGATTATAGTTTTGGGAACAGAAAACTGTATCGAGATCAAATGTTACATCGATGACAACATTTGCAGAATGCCGGCCAGTGGGCTTCCTCTCACTACGATATTTGGTGAAATATCTGTCTCATTGTTCTATCTGTGGTAACACAACTATTACCTCTCTCCTTTGACAATTCAGACAAAAGGCTAGTGCTTAAAACTCAAAGAAAAATGCACATTATAGTTTTGACAAGTGCCCCGTAAAGTGGTTTTGTGGAGACCTCAATGTTGTTTGTTTCCATCCAGGCAATATGACGGGTCTCTATAGCGATGCCTCTGCCTGGATAAACAATGCTGATCTGGTAAGCAGTGGTCACTTGAGTGTTTCTTCTCTGACAGCCATATCTTCTTCAGTCACAAGAAGGTCCGAAGGAAATCTATATTTCTGAGTGTGTCTCAGACAGGAATGTGTCTGAGCTGGTGTGCGTTCATTAGGTTATGACAGTGTTATCCATCAACAATACAGACGCATTGTTGATGGACAACACTATCGTTACCTGATTTGAAATTAGATCAATATTTCTATCAATAGTAAAGTTGTTTCTTTCACTTATGTTGTGAAATGTTTTTTGCTGGTTTTAGGAGCTTCTGTATGTACTTATTCAGTTTAACCTGTAGTCATGACGAATGACGTAATGGTTTTGTCTGTGTGTGCTTGTATTTGTCTGTGTCTGTCTCTCCCGTAGTCGGTAAACGCCACATGGGAGTCTCTCGACAAGAAGCAGTGTGTGGTGTACGGCGGCGAGCTGATTGGTCCAGCCTGCGGCTTCATCCCTGACGTCACTCTGATGTCATTCATCCTTTTCCTGGGGACCTACACCTGCTCCATGTCTCTCAAGAAGTTCAAGTTCAGCCGCTTCTTCCCCACCACCGTGAGTAACTGACAGCCCCTACCGCCAGTCACATTTCAGGATCTGTGACAGCCCCGTTGGCCAATCATGTTTCAGGATCCGAGTTTGGTTGATTTTTCAAAAGGGAAAGGGGCGAAAGAATTTGAAACGTCAAAACATTGTGTAGGCAATACAATCAGGTTATTGTGCAGACATTTACAGATGGGGTTGATTTTACAGAAGTCATATGCTAGGCCTCTATACCTACTGCATGACTTTCCTACCATATCTTTACCTTCTATTTTTTCTTGGCAAATTTCCATGAGCCATGTTTGGGTTCAGTGGAGTGAAATCTGAGGAACAATCAACCCCCCCCTCCCGACAGCCCTGACCCTTTGATCCGGTTAGCATCCACTGAGCTGCTGGTATTCCAGGTTTCATTACATTGCGATGTGTCATGATGTACAGCACATCGCTCTATACCCCCCTGCTCCCTCCTCCTTGCTGTGACATTCTCAAGTTATTCGATAGGCTCCGATGTCAATGAGAGTCTTAGCAGGAAGGTCAGATGTCACTCTCTCTGACACTGTTTAAGGTGCTATGTATCAACCAAACTAACACCTACACTTGCACTTCAGTGTATCCTAATGTCATAAAACACACACACAAACCTAGTGGATACAGATGCTGTGTATTAACCCCACACTTCACACCAACATTAAACAACTACACTTGCACCTCATGTATCCTAAAACACACGAAGAGCCTGATATATGAGAAGTAGTACTCATCTCTGTCTTGCCTATTGAAGATCCACCCACTTCCGCTTGTCCTCATTCAAACACACACATTAGTTACCTTGCCTTTTAGATAATAACTTAAAAGATCATATGGACAGGTGGGACCTGATCCTAGATCAGCACTCCTGACTGTGAGAGGCTTTTTGAATACAGGCCCAGAGCAAGGCTCACTTCACCCTGCTCGTCGCTCCTCTCTCTGCCAACTGCCTTATCTGCTCTGCATCTCACGGCATGGCTGGCTGTTACAGTACAGCCCGGCAGGACCATAGATGTTAAAATACCACTCATTCATTTCCCCATGGGAGGGACAGGGAGGGAGGGCTGAACTTTCCCAGGAGGCCATGCACTGTAGCTTTCCTCCATAACACAGGCCAGGCCAGGGAGGGCCCTGTGGGACATCGTAAAGGCTTTGAACTGTTGGTTATTGCACAACATGAGTCCAGTATCAGGTTTAGGGGATTTATGTTGGGTCAGTCAGTGTTTGATGATGCCTGCTACTTCTTTACTGTATGGCTATATTTATGGAGGTATAGTGGCTTGCGAAAGTATTCACCCCCTTTGGCATTTTTCCTATTTTGTTGCCTTACAACCTGGAATTAAAATTGATTTTTTTGGGGTTTGTATCATTTGATTTACACAACATGCCTACCACTTTGAAGATGCAAAATATTGTTTGGGGTGAAACAAACAAGAAATAAGACAAAAAAACTGAAAACGTGAGTGTGCATAACTATTCAAGCTCTATAAGCTTGGCACATCTAGCCACTGGGATTTTTGCCCATTCTTCAAGGCAAAACTGCTCCAGCTCCTTCAAGTTGGATGGGTTCCGCTGGTGTACAGCAATCTTTAAGTCATACCACATATCAATTGGATTGATGTCTGGGCTTTGACTAGGCCATTCCAAGACCTTTAAATGTTTCCCATTAAACCACTCGAATGTTGCTTTAGCAGTATGCTTAGGGTCATTGTCCTGCTGGAAGGTGAACCTCCGTCCCAGTCTCAAATCTCTGGAAGACTGAAACGGGTGTCTCTCAAGAATTTCCCTGTATTTAGCGCCATCCATCATTCCTTCAATTCTGACCAGTTTCCCAGTCCCTGCCGATGGAAAAACATCCCCACACAGGGATGGTGTTCTCGGGGTGATGAGAGGTGTTGGGTTTGCACCAGACATAGCATTTTCCTTGATGGCCAAAAAGCTAAATTTTAGTCTCATATGACCAGAATACCTTCTTCTATATGTTTGGGGAGTCTCCCACATGCCTTTTGGCGAACACCAAATGTGTTTGCTTATTTTTTTCTGGCATCTCTTCTGTAAAGCCCAGCTCTGTGGAGTGTACGGCTTACAGTGGTCCTATGGACAGATACTCCAATCTCCGCTGTGGTGCTTTGCAGCTCCTTCAGGGTTATCTTTGGTCTCTTTATTGCCTCTGATTAATGCCCTCCTTGCCTGGTGCGTGAGTTTTGGTGGGCGGCCCTCTCTTGGCAGGTTTGTTGTGGTGCCATATTCTTTCATTTTTTTAAATAATGGATTTAATGGTGCTCCGTGGGATGTTTAAAGTTTCTGATATTTTTTTATAACCCAACCCTGATCTGTACTTCTCCACAACTTTGTCCCTGACCTGTTTGGAGAGCTCCTTGGTCTTCATGGTGCCCCTTGCTTAGAGGTGTTGCAGACTCTGGGGCCTTTCAGAACAGGTGTATATATACTGAGATCATTAGATTGCACACAGGTGGACTTTATTTAACTAATTATGTGACTTCTGAAGGTAATTGGTTGCACCAGATCTTATTTAGGGGCTTCATAGCAAAGGGGGTGAATACATATGCACGCACCACTTTTCCGTTATTTATTTGTTAGGATTTTTTGAAACAAATTATTTTTTTCATTTCACTTCACCAATATTGACTATTTTGTGTATGTCCATTTACATGAAATCCAAATAAAAATACATTTAAATTACAGGTTGTAATTCAACAAAATAGGAAAAATGTCAAGGGGATGAATACTTTTGCAAGGCACTGTATGAGCTAAATGATACTGTATAGTGCAATAATTTAACACTTATTTACATATAGAACACATACAGTATATATACAGTGCCTTCAGAAAGTATTCACACCTCTTGACTTTTCCAACATTTTGTTCTGTTACAGCCTAAATTTGAAATTGATTAAATTTAGATTTTTTGGTCACTGGCCGACACACAATACCCCATAATGGCAAAGTGGAATTATGTTTTTGTTTTTTTTAATTTACAAATTAATTACAAATGAAAAGCGGAAATGTCTTGAGTCAATATGTATTCAACCCCTTTGTTATGGCAAGCCTAAATAAGTTCAGGAGTAAAGATTTGCTTAACAAGTCACATGATAAGTTGCGTGGACTCACTCTGTATGCAATAATAGTGTTTAACATGATTTTTGAATGACTACTTCATCTCTGTACCCCACACATACAATTATCTGTAAGATCCCTCAGTCGAGCAGTGAATTTCAAACACAGATTCGACCACAAAGACCAGGGAGGTTTTGGGACGAAGATGGGAAGTAAAAAACACAGACATTGAATATCCCTTTGAGCATGGTGAAGTTATTGATTACACATTGGAGGGTGTATCAATACACCCAGTCACTACAAAGATACAGGTGTCCTTCCTAACTCAGTTGCCAGAGAGGAAGGAAACCGCTCAGCGATTTCACCATGAGGCCAATGGTGACTTTAAAAGGGTTACAGAGTTTAATGGCTGTGATAGGGGAAAACTGAGGATGGATCAACAACATTCTAATTACTCCACAATACTAACCTAAATGACAGAGTGAAAAGAAGGAAGCCTGTACAGAATACATTTTTTCCAAAACATTCATCCTGTTAGCAACAAGACACAAAAGTAATACTGCAAAAAATTTGGCAAAGTAATTAACTTTTTGTCCTGAATACAAAGCGTTATGTTTGGGGTAAATCCAATACAACACATTACTGAGTACCACTCTCCATACATTCAAGCATGGTGGTGACTGCATCATGTTATGGGTATACTTGTAATTGTTAAGGACTGGGATAAAAAATTAACAGAATGGAGCTAAGCACCGGCAAAATCCTAGGAGACAACCTGGTTCAGTCTGCTTTCCACCAGACACTGGGAGATGAATTCACCTTTCAGCAGGACAATAACCTAAAACACAAGGCCAAATTTACACTGGAGTTGCTTACTAAAAAGACAGTGAATGTTCTTGAGTGGCCGAGTTACAGTTTTGACTTAAATCTGCTTGAAAATCTATGGCAAGACTTGCAAATAGTTGTCTAGCAATGATCAACAACCAATTTGACAGAGCTTGAAAATGTTTGATAATAATAATGTGCAAATATTGTACAATCCTGGTGTGCAAAGCTCTTGGAGACTTACATAGAAAGACAGCTGTAATCGCTGCCAAAGGTGATTCTAACATTTATTGACTTTGGGGTGTGAATACTTATGTAAATGATATATATTTCTGTATTTCATTTTCAAGAAGTTTGCAAAAATTCTAAAAACATACTTTTACTTTGTCATTATGGGGTATTGTGTGTAGATGGGTGTGAACAAAAATATATTTAATCCATTTTGAATTCAGGCTGTAACACAACAAAATGTAGAATAAAGTCAAGGGGTATGAATATATGTACAGTGGGGAGAACAAGTATCTGATACACTGCCGATTTTGCAGGTTTTCCTACTTACAAAGCATGTAGAGGTCTGTAATTTTTTATCATAGGTACACTTCAACTGTGAGAGACGGAATCTAAAACAAAAATCCAGAAAATCACATTGTATGATTTTTAAGTAATTAATTTGCATTTTATTGCATGACATAAGTATTTGATCACCTACCAACCAGTAAGAATTCCGGCTCTCACAGACCTGTTAGTTTTTCTTTAAGAAGCCCTCCTGTTCTCCACTCATTACCTGTATTAACTGCACCTGTTTGAACTCGTTACCTGTATAAAAGACACCTGTCCACACACTCAATCAAACAGACTCCAACCTCTCCACAATGGCCAAGACCAGAGAGCTGTGTAAGGACATCAGGGATAAAATTGTAGACCTGCAAAAGGCTGGGATGAGCTACAGGACAATAGGCAAGCAGCTTGGTGAGAAGGCAACAACTGTTGGCACAATTATTAGTAAATGGAAGAAGTTCAAGATGACGGTCAATCACCCTCGGTCTGGGGCTCCATGCAAGATCTCACCTCGTGGGGCATCAATGATCATGAGGAAGGTGAGGGATCAGCCCAGAACTACACGGCAGGACCTGGTCAATGACCTGAAGAGAGCTGGGACCACAGTCTCAAAGAAAACCATTAGTAACACACTACGCCGTCATGGATTAAAATCTTGCAGCGCACGCAAGGTCCCCCTGCTCAAGCCAGCGCATGTCCAGGCCCGTCTGAAGTTTGCCAATGACCATCTGGATGATCCAGAGGAGGAATGGGAGAAGGTCATGTGGTCTGATGAGACAAAAATATAGCTTTTTGGTCTAAACTCCACTCGCTGTGTTTGGAGGAAGAAGAAGGATGAGTACAACCCCAAGAACACCATCCCAACCATGAAACATGGAGGTGGAAACATCATTCTTTGGGGATGCTTTTCTGCAAAGGGGACAGGACGACTGCACCATATTGAGGGGAGGATGGATGGGGCCATGTATCACGAGATCTTGGCCAACAACCTCCTTCCCTCAGTAAGAGCATTGAAGATGGGTCGTGGCTGGGTGTTCCAGCATGACAACGACCCGAAACACACAGCCAGGGCAACTAAGGAGTGGCTCCATAAGAAACATCTCAAGGTCCTGGAGTGGCCTAGCCAGTCTCCAGACCTGAACCCAATAGAAAATCTTTGGAGGGAGCTGACAGTCCGTATTGCCCAGCGACAGCCCCGAAACCTGAAGGATCTGGAGAAGGTCTGTATGGAGGAGTGGGCCAAAATCCCTGCTGCAGTGTGTGCAAACCTGGTCAAGACCTACAGGAAACGTATGATCTCTGTAATTGCAAACAAAGGTTTCTGTACCAAATATTAAGTTCTGCTTTTCTGATGTATCAAATACTTATGTCATGCAATAAAATGCAAATTAATTACTTAAAAATCATACAGTGTGATTTTCTGGATTTTTGTTTTAGATTCCGTCTCTCACAGTTTAAATGTACCTATGATAAAAATTACAGACCTCTACATGCTTTGTAAGTAGGAAAACCTGCAAAATCGGCAGTGTATCAAATACTTGTTCTCCCCACTGTATGTGAAACGTGAGAAAATGTGATTATCATGGTTAGCACACCCTGATCAATCAATCAATCAAATTGTATTTATAAAGCCCTTTTTACATCTATACAGAAACCCAGCCTAAAACCCCAAACAGCAAGCAATGCAGATGTAGAAGCACGGTGGCTAGGAAAAACTCCCTAGAAAGGCAGAAACCTAGGAAGAAACCTAGAGAGGAACCAGGCTGTGAGGGGTGGCCAGTCTCCTTCTGGCTGTGCCAGGTGGAGATTATAACAGTACATGGCCATTAAGGCCAGATTTTTCTCCAAGATGTTCAAATGTTCATAGATGACCAGCAGGGTCAAATAATAATCACAGTGGTTGTAGAGGTTGCAACAGGTCAGTACATCAGGAGTAAATGTCACTTGGCTTTTTCATAGCCGGGCATTTAGAGGTTGAAATAGCAGCTGCAGTAGAGAGAGAGAGTTGAAAACAGCAGGTCTGGGACAAAGTAGCACGTCCGGTGAACAGGTCAGAGTTCCATAGCCGCAGGCAGAAGTGTGGAAACTGGAGCAGCAGCACGACCAGGTGGACTGGGGACAGCAAGGAGTCATCAGGCCAGGTAGTCCTGAGGCATGGTCCTAGGGCTCAGGTCCTCCAGGATGGGAGGGAGAGAGATTAGCTCAGTGAGTAAAGGAACTACACAGGCCATGATGGGTTAGCTGAAAAACATTCTGCTCCACCTTGTAATTTTTTTTTGTGTGACGTAAATTCAGTCTTACCCTGGATGTAACATGGAAAAAGGGAAGTCCTTACTGTATTGCCTCAGCCAAAAGCCTTGCCAAACTGTCAACTGTCAACTGCCAAACTCAACATGATTGTTCCACCCCCTATTGTACCGCAGGTGAGGAAGCTGATCAGTGATTTTGCCATCATCCTGACTATTGTCATCTTCTGCGGTGTGGATGCCTTTGTCGGAGTGGACACACCCAAGCTCATCGTGCCAACTGAATTCACAGTGAGTACCTAGGTGGATTTCAGTAGTATTGAGACGGGCCTTGTTCTGAAACTTTGATCTTGTATAGTGTCCACTATCCTCTGTTTTGATTTTGTTCTATAGTGCACAGGTTCACACATGCATTCACTTTAGTGATAAGGCTTTAAATTCAAATACAAGCAAAGAAGTAGGTAGTATACTCTGGTCCAGGTTTTGATTGATAGATTTAAATGCTATCGTTTTCTAGAATTACCCAAGAGGGACTGGTGTATCAATCTGATCTCCACCTGAACAATGCTGCCTTTTCTTAGGCAGACATAAAGTCTTTGTAATCCTTGTCATAAAGTATTGTATAATCCAGTGTACTACGGCTGAGATCCTGAAACTCAGACACAGAGCCAGTCACTGAGTTTATTACCTTATCTTAGTTTACCTTACCTCACTGGGGCCTAGGCTGTCTCGAATGGTGGAGGGAGTGTGGGTGAGGAGGGGTGAAGTATCGAGCATGGGGGTTGGGGAGGGGAGAGAGGTTGGATGGGGGTGAGGTGGGAGTGGAGGAAGAGGGGAGATGAGGGGTGAGGTTGGGGGCGGGGTGAGGAAGGGTGAGAGGGAATGTGGGGAGGGTTTGTGCATCAAATAACAAGGGGATTTTAAGACATGGGGAGAACACTGACGGCCTTATGGTTGCAGATAGACACAGCTTTGTGCGGCTGTTGAGAAATTTCACATAATTTTTTTGGGGGGGTGTAATGATGTACCTCTCTAGGGCTCTAAGACTCTTAGTCAGTGTGTGGCAGAATAAGGACTTTCTGTTTCAATGAGGGATAATATTTATTTGAACGCTGAGGCTGTGGTTCCGAAGGTAACCACCCCGTTCTGCACCCATCCCGCCCAACTGGAAGCCTCTTCCCCAGAGTAAAAAATATACGTATCATGTTCTGCGCATGTGTTTCTTTACCTCTACTTTACGCACAAATTTTTGTGGTCACCCTCCCTTCACATTTCTCACTGTCAATTGTGAGAACAGATTAAGTAGCCTGTTCTCTGGGCAGCCGAACAGTAGAGTAGAGAATCCCGCACATGCGCAGAAGCTTCCGATTTTTGGCTATTGCGAAGAGGGTTCGGAAGAATTCGGAAACTGCAGCCACTCAGTTTTTTAAATGAAGGGAAACTTTTTTGGTTATTTTCGGGGCAACCATAGTATAAAATATATTCAAATTCTTACTTTGAGTTATTATATTGTTATAATAACAAAATTAAATGTCTAACAACACCCTGCAACCATGAATGTTTGCTTTGCAAGGATGGTGTGTGTCTGTTGTCCTGTGTGTTTATCCACCCTGACCTACTATATATCTGACTGGCTGTGTCTCTCTGCTCCTGGTCCCCAGCCCACCAGCCCCAACCGTGGCTGGTTCGTGCCTCCATTCGGAGGGAACCCCTGGTGGGTTTATCTGGCAGCAGCCCTCCCTGCTCTCCTGGTCACCATTCTGGTGTTCATGGACCAGCAGATCACCGCCGTCATCGTGAACAGGAAGGAGCACAAACTCAAGGTGGGGGGATGGCAGGCGGAAGGGATGACTGGGCAAAGGGAGGGGTGGATGGAGAGGTAGAGGAAGGGAGAATGGAAAGGATGGAAGGAAGGGAAAGGTGGAGGGATGAAGGGCCACTGGGTCAGAGGGGTAAGGAGAGGAGATAAGATAATGTCTTAAGATAAGAGAATGAGACACAGCAGTAGAGGGAAGAAATGGGTTTAGGGGGTAGGTGAAGAGGGGTAGAGACTGAAATGGGAGTTCTGGGGGTGTTTTTCAACACTTTGTATTGGATATTACGTCAATAGTAACTCGTTTTAGGAACTAGATTCTGTTTCCTTGTGGTTAGTGGTTACTGACACACTTTCTCCTCTCCTGGTCCTCACAGAAAGGGGCAGGCTACCACTTGGACCTGTTCTGGGTAGCAATACTACTGATCGTGTGTTCCTTCATGGGCCTGCCCTGGTACGTGGCTGCTACTGTCATCTCCATCGCCCACATCGACTCTCTGAAGATGGAGACCCAGTGCTCTGCCCCTGGGGAGCAACCTAAGTTCCTGGGTGTCAGGTGGGTGAGCAGGGAGGTGGGGAGGGAGTTGAGCGGGGAGGGAGGTGAGCGGGTAGGGAGGGGGGAGTTAAGGAGGGAGGTAAGTGAGGAGAGAGGGGAGGAAGAGTCAGTGGAGCGAAGAGAGCTATCGGAGCAGAACGATTCCTGGCTCTTTTACATGCAGCCTACAATGGCCTTAATACATGACATTTTACAATCCCATAGCTAGCGCTCTAAAGTGCCGCCAATTTGGTCGCAAATGAGACAAAATATTTTGCTGTGTGACCAGTAGTTTTATTTTGGGAGCACTGTGCCACTAGAAAAAACATCTCCCAGATAATAGTATAATTGTTGTAATAATAAGGTTTCACTATACCGTTGTTTCCGAGTGCCCTAGAGTAAAAAGGCAGATTCGATAGTGTGTAGCCTAGGCAGCCGTTTGTGGCCGCTAGATTTGTCTAGGATTGATGTGCAAAATACACTAGTGTCTCCTGTGGAACGTCTCGTACATAAAGCATCCTCCATTCAGGCTGCGAAGGCATCATTTTCCTCCTTAACTAGCTTTAATGGTGAGCCGACATAAAAAAACATGGAAAGATATGTGTACTGTCTTAATAAAACAACATTTCCTCTGACAACTTAGGATGTTGCACACAGCGTTTAGCCAAGGGTGTGCAACGTCCTAAGTTGTCAGAAAATACTAAAATGGTTAAAAGATTTGAGCCATATGGTGCAACATTTTTACTTTCTTCCTATAGCGGATCGCCGAGACCGCATTTTATATTCATAATTCATAAACCATGTCGTGGGCCATTCTAAAACGACTTGCGTGTCATTAACCATTTGTTTACACTTAAGTCAAGTTACCTCATTGGCTAGCTGGCTAACAACCTGGGAACTTTACCAGTAGGCCTATATCCAAACATTTGGGGGCACAGAAAGGAAAAGGGATGGCTTCTTCAGGAGACCAATGATCATAGCAATGAATGAATGAGATCTCTTGCATGTAGTCATCACAAACCTGACGTTTTTAAAGAGATAGTGTGCAATTTTACACAATGCTTTTACACAATGTAGAAACCTAATATACGACAAATAACTTTGTAATTTCAATGACAGGTATTAGTATAAACATTTTAGCATTTATAATAAACTAATGTCTTTACAGTGTTACATATTTGTTTCTAGGGCACAACATTTAAAAGTAGCTTTAAAAGTTGCTAGAATTCATATAATAATAATAATAATAATAATAATAATAATAATAATAATAATAATAATAATAATATATTATAATATATATATAGGCCCAATATAGGATTTATTTCAATCACGTTTTTTTTTTACATCGTATTTTCTGTTGCTGCTAAATTTCATGTGGTACTCCCAACTTTTAGAAGTTGGGAGCACCAGTGCTAAAAAATATTAATTTAGAGCCCTTCCCATAGCACTACATGAACATGTTGAAGTTATTTGATTGTCACATCAGAACAGTGGTCAGTAGTTTGAACAGAAAAGTTAGAAAACTGACTGTGGTTGATGTGGTGTCTGTGCAGTGTGATATGAACTATGCTTTCTTACCTCAGAGAGCAGAGAGTGACCGGTGTCATTGTCTTCGTTCTGACTGGACTGTCTGTCTTCATGGCTCCCATCCTCAAGGTAGCGCTTCAAACACATGTTAATTCCCTTTAAATCTGCCTATTCATTTCCCTTAAATCTATAATAATATATGCCATTTAGCAGACACTTTTATCCAAGGTGACTTACAGTAGTACTTGCATTATCATATGTGTGGCCCCAGCGGGAATCAAACCCACTATCCTGGTGTTGCTCTAGCTACCCATTAAGTCACACAGGACCACAAATCTACCTGGTCATTCCCTTTAAATCTTACTGGATTAATGTCCTCCCCTTTAAGTGGAAAATCCCATCACTCATTCAAATTGTAAATAATGTGAAATATTGTAGTCATCCAATTAGTGAGTGACCTAATTGAGGTGGTGACGTGAAATAAGCATGTTCATCATCGAGGCTCAGTTTGCAGCTCAGTGAGTAGGTTACTCAGGTTTCCGGTTCTCTTGTTAATCTGACCATCATATACAGCTCTGGAAAAAATTAAGAGACCACTGCACATTTTTATTAAATCAGCATCTCTACATATATGACAGCCATTCCATTCCAGTGTCTGTTGAATTCCAACACAGGCACACCTTATTCTACTGAATTAGGTACTGATTAGGTGATCACCAGAACCAAATCTTATTTAACCAGGAAATATACAAACCACTGCTGTGGTCATCACTATCTTGCAATAGGACCAGCTGGATGGCAAAAACAGTGCTAATAGTACATCAAAAGTAATATTAATCAAAAAATAAATATTGACCATGCCAAAAGAGTTGAAAAGGAAAGTTTTGAGTGAGCAAAAGAAGGGTTCAATTCTGGCTTTACTGGCCGAGGGATACAGTGAGCGTCAGGTTGCTTCCATCCTTCAAATTTCAAAGACGGCGGTTCATAAGAACAAGGTCAAGCAGCAGACATTGGGGAAAACAAAGCTGTTGAGGGCGAAAACTACTCTTTACTGACCGGGATGACCGCCAACTCATTCGAATGTCACTCAACAACCGTAGGATGACATCAAGGGACCTACAAAAATAATGGCAAACGGCAGCTGGGGTGAAGTGCACGGCGAGGACGGTTCGAAACAGGCTCCTAGGGGCAGGGCTGAAGTCGTGCAAAGCTAGAAAAAAGCCCTTCATCAATGAGAAGCAAAGAAGAGCCAGGCTGAGGTTTGCAAAATACCATAAGGATTGGACCATAGAGGACTGGAGTATGGTCATCTTCTCTGATGAGTCCAATTTTCAGCTTTGCCCAACACCTGGTCGTCTAATGGTTAGACGGAGACCTGGAGAGGCCTACAAGCCACAGTGTCTCGCACCCACTGTGAAATTTGATGGAGGATCGGTGATGATCTGGGGGTGCTTCAGCAAGGCTGGAATCGGGCAGATTTGTCTTTGTGAAGGACGCATGAATCAAGCCATGTACAAGGTTGTCCTTGAAGAAAAATTTGCTTCCTTTTGCTCTGACATTGTTCCCCAAGTCTGAGGATTGGTTTTTCCAGCAGGACAATGCGCCATGTCACACAGCCAGGTCAATCAAGGTGTGGATGGAGGACCACCAGATCAAGACCCTGTCATGGCCAGCCCAATCTCCAGACCTGAAACCCCATTGAAAACTTCTGGAATGTGATCAAGAGGAAGATGGATGGTCACAAGCCATCAAACAAAGCCGAGCTGTTTAAATTTTTGCGCCAGGAGTGGCATAAAGTCACACAACATCAAAGTGAAAGACTGGTGGAGAGCATGCCAAGACGCATGAAAGTTGTGATTGAAAATCAGGGTTATTCCACCAAATATTAATTTCTGAACTCTTCCTAAGTTAAAACATTAGTATTGTGTTGTTTAAAAATGAACATATTTTCTTTGCATTATTCGAGGTCTGACAACACTGCATCTTTTTTGTTATTTTGACCACTTGTCATTTTGTGCAAATAAATGCTCTAAATGACAATATTTGTATTTGGAATTTGGGAGAAATGTTGTCAGTAGTTTATAGAATAAAACAAAAATGTTAATTTCATCCAAACCCATACCTATAAATAGTAAAACCAGAGAAACTTATATTTTTGCAGTGGTCTCTTATTTTTTTCCAGAGCTGTATATAAAAGCTGTCATTGTCCTTAGTGAGTGGGAATGGTCCTCCCCCTTCTGGACACTTTAGGGTAGTAGAAATGATGAGAGGCCGCCTGATCTTTAAAGGTCGTTTTTAACAAATAGTGTTAGTTCCATGTGCATATGTATACAAAATAGGAATACTTAGATGAAAACCTGCACACTGGCGAAAATAGGAAGGATCCATAACTGATGCTTAAATGCAAAAATATAAATTATTTATTTGGTCATCATGATGCAAAAAGGTGCATTAAAGAAAGGTGAAAAACTAAATCTAAATGTTTCGGCAGAAATCACACCATCATCAGTGTAGTAGGTAGGCACCCACACCTGTCTTCTGTTTAAAGAATAATTACATACGTCACATGATCAAGAAAGAAAATCAGAAAACCTATAAATCAGTACCTAGTACAATTGAATGCATGATCTATACATTATATACAGTTGAAGTCTGAAGTTTACATACACTTAGGTTGGAGTCATTAAAACTTGTTTTTCAACCACTCCACAAATTTGTTGTTAACAAACTATAGTTTTGGCAAGTCGGTTCGGACATCTACTTTGTGCATGACACCAGTAATTTTTCCAACAAGTGTTTACAGACAGATTATTTCACTTATAATTCACTGTATCACAATTCCAGTGGGTCAGAAGTTGACATACACCAAGTTGACTGTGCCTTTAAACAGCTTGGAAAATTCCAGAAAATGATGTCATGGCTTTAGAAGCTTCTGATAGGCTAATTGACATCATTTGAGTCAATTGGAGGTGTACCTGTGGATGTATTTCAAGGCCTACCTTCAAACTCAGTGCCTCTTTGCTTGACATCATGGGAAAATCAAAAGAAATCAGCCAAGACCTCAGAAAAATTTGTAGATCTCCACAAGTCTGGTTCATCCTTGGGAGCAATTTCCAAACGCCTGAAGGTACCATGTTCATCTGTACAAACAATAGTACGCAAGTATAAACACCATGGGACCACGCAGCCGTCATACCGCTCAGGAAGGAGACGCGTTCTGTCTCCTAGAGATGAACATACTTTGGTGCGAAAAGTGCAAATCAATCCCAGAACAACAGCAAAGGACCTTGTGAAGATGCTGGAGGAAACAGGTACAAAAGTATCTATATCCACAGTAAAATGAGTCCTATATCGACATAACCTGAAAGGCCGCTCAGCAAGTAAGAAGCCACTGCTCCAAAACCGCCATAAAAAAGCCAGACTATGGTTTGCAACTGCACATGGGGACAAAGATCGTACTTTTTTGAGAAATGTCCTTTGGTCTGATGAAACAAAAATGTAAATGTTTGGTCATAATGACCATCGTTATTTTTGGAGGAAAAAGGGGAACGCTTGCAAGCCGAAGAACACCATCCCAACCATGAAGCACGGGGGTGGCAGCATCATGCTGTGGGGGTGCTTTGCTGCAGGAGGGACTGGTGCACTTCACGAAATAGATGGCGTCATGAGGAAGGAAAATTATGTGGATATATTGAAGCAACATCTCAAGACATCAGTCAGGAAGTTAAAGCTTGGTCGCAAATGGGTCTTCCAAATGGACAATGACCCCAAGCATACTTCCAAAGTTGTGGCAAAATGGCTTAAGGACAACAAAGTCAAGGTATTGGAGTGGCCATCACAAAGCCCTGACCTCAACCCTATAGAAAATGTGTGGGCAGAACTGAAAAAGCGTGTGCGAGCAAGTAGGCCTACAAACCTGACTCAGTTACACCAGCTCTGTCAGGAGAAATGGGCCAAAATTTACCCAACTTATTGTGGGAAGCTTGTGGAAGGCTACCCGAAACGTTTGACCCAAGTTAAACAACTTAAAGGCAATGCTACCAAATAAACTCAGCAAAAAAAAGAAACGTCCCTTTTTCAGGACCCTGTCTTTCAAAAATAATTCATAAAAATCCAAATAACTTCACAGATCTTCATTGTAAAGGGTTTAAACATTGTTTCCCATGCTTGCTCAATGTACCATAACCCATACACAAAAAAAAATATTTATGCACACATGACTGTAAGTCGCTTTGGATAAAAGCGTCTGCTAAATGGCATATTATATTATTTATTAATGAGCATGCACCTGTGGAACGGTCGTTAAGACACTAACAGCTTACAGACGGTAGGCAATTAAGGTCACAGTTATGAAAGAGGCCTTTGTACTGACTCTGAAAAACGCCAAAAGAAAGATGCCAAGGGTCCCTGCTCATCTGCGTGAACGTGCCTTAGGCATGCTGCAAGGAGGCATGAGGACTGCAGATGTGGCCAGGGCAATAAATTGCAATGTCCGTACTGTGAGACGCCTAAGACAGCGCTACAGGGAGACAGGACAGACAGCTGATCATCCTCGCAATGGCACACCATGTGTAACAACACCTGCACAGGATCGGTACATCCGAACATCACACCTGCGGGACAGGTACAGGATGGCAACAACAACTGCCCGAGTTACACCAGGAATACACAATCCCTCCATCAGTGCTCAGACTGTCCGCAATAGGCTGAGAGAGGCTGGATTGAGTGCTTGTAGGCCTGTTGTAAGGCAGGTCCTCACCAGACATCACCGGCAACAACGTTGCCTATGGACACTAACCCACCGTCGTTGGACCAGACAGGACTGGCAAAAAGTGCTCTTCACTGACGAGTCGCGGTTTTGTCTCACCAGGGGTGATGGTCGGATTCGCGTTTATCGTCGAAGGAATGAGCGTTACACTGAGGCCTGTACTCTGGAGTGGGATCGATTTGGAGGTGGAGGGTCCGTCATGGTCTGGGGCGGTGTGTCACAGTATCATCGGACTGAGCTTGTTGTCATTGCAGGCAATCTCAACGCTGTGCATTACAGGGAAAACATCCTCCTCCCTCATGTGGTACCCTTCCTGCAGGCTCATCCTGACATGACCCTCCAGCATGACAATGCCACCAGCCATACTGCTCATTCTGTGCGTGATTTCCTGCAAGACAGGAATGTCAGTGTTCTGCCATGGCCAGCGAAGAGCCCGGATCTCAATCCCACTGAGCATGTCTGGGACCTGTTGGATCGGAGGGTGAGGGCTAGGGCCATTCCCCCCAGAAATGTCTGGGAACTTGCAGGTGCCTTGGTGGAAGATTGGGGTAACATCTCACAGCAAGAACTGACAAATCTGGTGCAGTCCATGAGGAGGAGATGCACTGCAGTACTTAATGCAGCTGGTGGCCACACCAGATACTGACTGTTACTTTTGATTTTGACCCCCCCTTTGTTCAGGGACACATTATTCAATTTCTGTTAGTCAAAAGTCTGTGGAACTTGTTCAGTTTATGTCTCAGTTGTTGAATCTTGTTATGTTCATACAAATATTTACACGTGTTAAGTTTGCTGAAAATAAACACAGTTGACAGTGAGGACGTTTCTTTTTTTGCTGAGTTTACTAATTGAGTGTATGTAAACTTCTGACCCACTGGGAATGTGATGAAATAAATAAAAGCTGAAATAAATCATTCTCTCTACTATTATTCTGATATTTCACATTCTTAAAATAAAGTGGTGATCCTAACTGACCTAAGACAGGGAATTTTTACTAGGATTAAATGTCAGGAATTGTGAAAACTGAGTTGAAATGTATTTGGCTAAGGTGTATGTAAACTTCCGACTTCAACTGTATATGATTAGCGGACAGAGAAACATAATAAATTATTACGTCACATATATCATGTGAACATTTCATCAGAATAAAGAACACATTAAATAATGGGTCAACAAGACCAGAATACAGAGCTAGAGACAATAGACTACTACCTGGGGGATCTCTCTTTAGGGTAGTGACATCTCTATCTCTAATGAAGATGAGATCTTAGGCTTCTACTCTAGTAGACTCTAGTAACAACTAACAACACATTCTATCAGATCTGTCCATAGGTCAGCCACATGACAGGTCGACTCTAGTAACAGCACATTCTAGTAACGCCAGATAAGGTGCTTAGGCCATGTCAACAGACTGCTATTTTAGGCTGGTTCTGACTGTAAACACATTGATCACCTTCTACGTAGAATAAATGAGTGTGTTGTTTTGTTATACAACACGTTATTTAGTAGAAGCTAACAACATACACCAAGAAGGTTAACGAGGTACAGACTATATAAACTTGCAAAAACAAAGAAGGTAGCACACCCTATCTATCCCAGTGATTAATTGGAGAGCCAACAATGCAACGTCATCAAAAGTTAAGTCTCTCACTGTTGTTATTGAAAACAGGGTTAACCCTAACTTCATATCAGCCCTAAAAAATAGTAAAAGGGTGGAATACAGTTTGTTGGTTGGTTGTTATTTCTGTAGAAATACAGCCTCTATTACCTTTCTCTCATTCACCCATTCCTGTTCTCTCTTCCCAGTTCATCCCTATGCCTGTGCTCTATGGCGTGTTCCTCTACATGGGCGTGGCATCTCTCAACGGTGTCCAGGTGAGTGACTCTGACCCAAAATGGATTCTGAAATTCTAGGCGTGTTAGTGATATTAGTCCACCGCTAACCAACATGGTACACCAGTCGCATCCACTCCCATGTATCTGGGCCTTACCTCTGTACAACTTTAAGTCAAAGAACACTCAGATAGAGCATAAATGGAGTCTGTAACTCTGTGCCTGTAAGTTATATTAGTCCATCAATAATATTGTCTGCGATGCCAGTCGCATCCCCACCCCATGTATCCTGGCCTTACTTCTGTGCGACTGTGTCTGTCCATCAGTTCTTGGACCGGCTGCAGCTGCTCCTGATGCCAGCCAAGCACCAGCCTGACCTGATATACCTGCGCCATGTTCCCCAACGTCGTATCCACCTGTTCACCTTCATCCAGGCCCTCTGCCTTGCCCTCCTCTGGGTCCTCAAGTCCACCGTCGCTGCAATCATCTTCCCTGTCATGGTAAGACTTAAGCATGCAACACACATGCACACACACACACACAAATCACATGTTATTTGTCACATGCGCTGAATAGAATGGCTGTAGAGTAGACTTAACCGTGATATTCTTGCTTACGAGCCCTTCCCAACGATGCAGTTAAACAGTTAAAATACAAATAGTAACACCAGGAATAAAATCCACAAGAATGGAGCTACAGTTGAAGTCGGAAGTTTACATACACCTTAGCCAAATACATTTAAACTCAGTTTTTCACAATTCCTGACATTTAATCCTAGTAAAAATTCCCTGTTTTAGGTCAGTTAGGATCACCACTTTATTTTAAGAACGTGAAATAAATAATAATAGTAGATAGAATGATTTATTTCAGCTTTTATTTCTTTCATCATATTCCCAGTAGGTCAGAAGTTTACATACACTCAATTAGTATTTGGTAGCATTGCCTTTAAATTGATTAACTTGGGTCAAACGTTTTGGGTAGCCTTCCACAAGCTTCCCACAATAAGTTGGGTGAATTTTGGCCCATTTCTCCTGACAGAGCTGGTGTAACTGAGTCAGGTTTGTAGGCCTCCTAGCTCACACATGCTTTTTTTTTCTTCTTAACTGCATTGTTGGTTAAGGGCTTGTAAGTAAGCGTTTCACTGTAAGGTCTACACCTGTTGTATTCGGCGCATGTGGCAAATAAAATTTTATTTGATTTGAATCCGTTATCGTCTGCAAGCCCTGCCACATACGTTGAGCATCAGAGCTGGTGTAATAGGATTCCACCTTCCTTCTATATTGTCCTTTTGCATGTTTGATGTCTCATCTGAGGTCGTAGCAGGCTTTCTTTGTATGCGTCCATGTCAGTGTCCTCTTTCTTGTAAGCGGTAGCTCTAGCCTTTAACCCAGCGAGGATAATGCCTGTAATCCATGTTTTTTGGTTTGGATACGTTCGTGTAGTCACTGTGAGGATGACATCGTCTATGCACTTATTGATGAAGCCCGTGAGTGATGTGGTAAACTCCTAAATGCTATTGGATGAATCCTGGAACATATCCCAGTCTGTACTCCCAGTCTTGTAGCCTCGCGTCTGCTTCATCGGATCACTTACGTAATGAGCGCGTCAGTGGTACTTCCTGTTTGAGCTTTTGTTTGTAAACAAGAAGCAGGAGAATAGAGTCATGGTCAGATTTGCCGAAGGGAGGGTGAAGGAGGGCCTTATTTTTTAATTTTTTATTTTATTTCACCTTTATTTAACCAGGTAAACCAGTTGAGAACAGGTTCTCATTTACAACTGCGACCTGGCCAAGATAAAGCAAAGCAGTGCAATAAAAACAACACAGAGTTACATATGGGGTAAAAAAACATAAAGTCAAAAATACAACAGAAAATATATATACAGTGTGTGCAAATGTAGCAAGTTATGGAGGTAAGGCAATAAATAGGCTATATATGCGTTTCTGTGGGTAGAATAAACGTGGTCTAGAGTTTTAGTGCCCCTAGACACATACAAATGCATGCACAGACACACACTCACAGGTACGTGTGTGACAGTCCAACATACACACACAAACATGCAAGTAAGTACACCTACAAGATGAAATGTACCAAGGAGCCAAGAATACACATTCACTTAAACAGTGTGGAGCAGACACAAACACACAATGCATCCAGCCACATACCCACCAACACAGTATATAGTAGCCATTATCAATCTCCACTGATGCGTCTGTGTCCGTCTCTCCAGATCTTGGCCCTGGTGGCGGTCAGAAAGGCCATGGACTACATCTTCTCCCAGCACGACCTCGGCTATCTGGATGACGTCATCCCAGAGAAAGACAAGAAGAAGAAAGAGGAGGATGAAAAGAGGAAGAAGAAACAGAAGAAAGGAAGCATTGACAGTGAAATCGATTTTGTAAGTAATTTTGAGGCTTTATTGAAAGCGGATCAGTCTGCTTGATTTCATGTGTTTCCCCCAAGGGATCTACCTTGTAGCAGTAGTAGTAGTAGTAGTAGTAGTAGTAGTAGTAGTAGCAATGTAGTAGTAGTAGTAGTAGCAATGTAGTAGTAGTAGTAGTAGTAGTAGTAGTAGTAGTAGTAGTAGTAGCAATATAGTACTAGTATGTTACTTTTTGTAGAACACTAGCACGTTTAACTCATGACCTGTCCTCCCTCCTAACAGTCACACCACTCCTCCTATCCGAAACTATCCCTTCTGTGAACACTGTTCTCCAAATGAGAACTGGCTAGCACTTTATGTTACGGTACTGAAATGAACACTGTCTGTCTGTCTGTCTGAGCACTGTCTTTTCTTACAGACATACATACGGTACAGATATGACCAGGTATTTGTGTAGAAACTACATTGTAAAATGGTAATTACACAGCATGGATGACATTATGAATTACTTGTTTGTTTCTTTAAACGGAGCACCACTGGACACCATTACAGTAGATACATGGGTCGTATTCATTAGGTACCAAACAGAAGAAAACGCAATGAAACAGGGAGGGACTACCTGAACTTATGAGAAACACCCATTTTGGTTTTCCATTGCAAAATGATTTGCTACAGTGTGCCCTAATGAATATGACCCAGGTAGTTAGTTGCCATTATGTGAAATGAGTTGAAGTAGGTAGCAGAAAGTATAGCCCTTGTTATTCTCTCCCTCCAGCCCCCTGAGTACCCCTACAATGACAAAATCCCCAGTATTAAAATCTCCATGGATATAATGGAGACGGAGCCCATGTTGGGGGATAAGGATAAGGCCTCGGACAGTGAGTACAACAAGACTGCATGGGGTCTCGTACCCACAACCGCACGGGGCTTAGAGCCTCTTTACAATACACTTCTTTGACGACACATACTAGTTCCACAACACATATTTTGTGGTGTAAAGAGACGGATCTAGATTCAAATTTCTTTCCCAAGCCACCTCTTTAGGTAGTGTGGGACACTTCTACACCACATACCCCCCTCTAAGTGGTATAGTGTAAAGACAATGAGATAATCTCAATTGCATACTCCTCGCCTCCTTCTCGAAACCCATTAGATGAGAAAGGCGGAGGTCTGTCCCCTCTGATCTTCTTCTCCAATGGGTTTTGAGAAGGAGGCAAAGAGAGAGGGCGAGATTCTCCTAATGGCTCTCTGACGCTACATGCCCCCTGCAATAATTACCATTATACCAGTAGAGTAGACAGCATTTCTGTTGTTAGCCAAGACTTTTAAAATGTCCACACATTTATGAATCTTTTCATTAATCAAGTGTGCCACAGTATGTGCAATATGGTTTAGATGACAAACTCCTGTATAGTTTGAATAGCTATACTTATTTTGTTTGTCTATGTACTGTGTATTTACGGTATGCTAATAGCTGCACACATGGGTAAAGTAAGGATAGTGTAAACAGGGAAGTTGTACATCTGTGGTGAAGAGAGGTAGATCTTACTACACATATTTGAGGTATTATGTGTAAAAGCAGCCTTAATGAGTGCTGCTAAGGCCTGTTTCTCTTACCTTCTTGCCTCCTTCCCCCTCTCTCTCTGTCTCGGTCTCTCTCTGTCTCACTCTCTGTCTTTTCTTCTCTATCTGTTTATAAATATCTCTCTCTCTGTCTCTCTTCTCCCTCTTCCCCTTTGTGAAGCACTAATCTCATCTTTGAGTCTTGATCAGATCTCTCGCTTTTCTCTGACTGCAGACATCCAGCTTTATTCTGCAAACTAACGCAGATGAGCTTACTTTTTGAATCCTTTCTCATTGTTCTATTTTCAGCTGCTTTTACGAAGGCTTAATTAGCAGCTGCTTCTACTGTGAAACATCATGGCTTTGCAATGCTTGCTCTAATTTTCCTCTTTTGCTGGACCTGGTCTGAATTATGAGAGTGAGTATTTAAGTGGCTAAAACATGTTAATGTTGCGTGTGTTTGGTCTTCTCTCTTAGGACCCCCGTCGTCTTTCCGTGACCCACACTCACCGTGCTGAGAACTACTTTGAGCCCACTACTGTAGCAAGGTAATTGTGTGAGTGAGCCTGCGTGTTTGCCTTATTGTATACCCACACCATGATTATATAGTGTGACAATCAATCAAAGAGTACAGCTTGTCATTTTAATGTTGTAACTTTGCTGTCCCTGGTTGTTCAATCTCTTTACCTTCTCTCTGTCTCCTCTCTTTCTCTCTCCTTCCCTCCCCTCTCTCCCTCCCCTCCCGTCCCCTCCCTCCCCCCTCCTCCCCTCCTCCCCTCCCTCCCCTCCCTCCCCCCCCTCCTCCCCTCCCTCCCCTCCCTCCCCCTTACCCCTTCCCCATCCCCCCTCCCCCATCCCCCCTCCCCCATCCCCCCTCCCCCATCCCCTCCTCCCCTCTCCCCTCTCTCTCCCTCCCTCCCCTCTCTCTCCCTCCCCTCTCTCTCCCTCCCCTCTCCCCTCTCTCTCCCTCCCTGCCCTCTCCCTCCCTCCCTCCCCTCTCCCCTCTCTCTCTCCCCTCTCCCCTCTCTCTCTCTCCCTCCCTCCCCTCTCCCTCTCCCTCCCCTCTCCCCTCTCCTCTCCCCTCTCTCTCCCCTCTCTTTCTCTCTCTTTCAGTCTGAATCTATTGAAAAAAAGCTGTGCCTCAGATTAGGATCAACCTGGCGTAAGAAGGACAACGGCTTCTTCTGGAAAAACTAGGCTCCGGGCTCTGAAATGTCCCTCTAGTCTAACCCAAACAACCCAACAGAACCAGAACCAGCACCTGCACACCACAGTACTACTCAACACAGCACAAAGTGTATCTGAAATCGATCCCTATATAGTGCACTACTTTTGTCCTCTTAGTGCACTACTTTTGACCAGAGCCCTATGTAGGGAATAAGGTGCCATTTTGGACGTAACCAAATACCCCTACAGCAGCCTCTTTTATACTGTAGCACTGTTTTATAAATATATTTTAAATGTCCTGCTGAAGTACATATTTGTAATTTAAGAAAACTGACAGAATTCTTTGTTTTGAGAATGAGAAGTATAAGAGGGAGCCTTGTGAAAGGGGAGATGTAAATGTTTGTATGACAGGGGGAGGGGGTTGCATTTGACAATTCTTCATTTGCTGTAGAGGTCATACTCTACACCAAGGAAAATGTTGAAGTTCTTTGGGAGCCATTCATTGCTTATTCATGGGTATGGTATTAATGATTTATAAAGCATTCAAACTAATGCAATGCTTTATGTATTCATAATACATGCCTGTTAGGTAATTAAGTACAACATACTTTATTATGCGACTCTTATGGAGCTGTGAAGTTGGACTGGACTGTCCTATTCTATGCCGGCCAGAACAGATCAAACTTTAAAATCCCATTATGATTTCATGTCCTACTGTCCATCATAGGCCCATAGTGTCCTTTTTCATGTATATTAATGTTTTTCCGTTTTTTCCTCCACCCCTTCACACCTGTATTATCGTATTTATTTAATCTCGATCTATGCAAAATATTTTTTGCTCTTGAACCAAAATGTTGATTTGGCTATTTTCCTTCCCAGTGTGTATGAAACTGATCAACTTTTCTGATTGAACTGTTCTATTAGTAATGTCTGTTGCAGGGTTGAGGTCAATTCCAATTTAATTTGAATTTCTAATTAAATTCTTGAAATCTCTCATGAAGTGGAGCATGTCTGTTGAATTACGTTCAAATTTCAAGAATCTTCAAGTTTTGGAATTGAATTGGAATTAGACAGTTTGGACTGTTTCAATTGGAATTGTAAAAAGAAAATATTTTGTGAATTGAATTGGAATTCAATATTTTTACATTTCCCAGGTAATGGAATTAATGCAAAAAGTGTCAAATCAACTGCAGGATTTGTTTTAAATCATTTAACCTTGGATTTCTATATTTCTAGTATAACTTGGCTGTCTGAACAGTGACAATCAGCCTTAAAGCCTGAGGGAATTGAATTTGTGGAATTGTCAGGGATAATTTCAATTGGGAATTAAATTATTTGAATTGACTTAACATTGGAATTCAGAGGAAATTAATTATCTCTGAATCCAACGACTGACCTGGAATTCTAATTGAATTTGTGGAATTAACCCCAACCCTGGTCTGTTGTTCCTATCGGCTTTATAAGAGACAGGAGGACTCCAACTACGATTATCTGTAGTAGGGATTGAAATATATAAATATACTTATTTGTAGCTCTACCTCTTTGACTTAATGTACTGTAGGTGCCAGGCATTATAAGTACAGTATGATGAACACTATTATTATTATTATTATTATTATTATTATTATGCAATGATCGGTCATTAATACTGAATTATTTGCATGAAAGGGCACAGCACAGGATCTCTAGCTTATCATTTTCTGAGTTCCTTTTGCTCTGTAACTAATTCATTAGAGATTTTTATTTGTATCACATTGAAATGAAATAACAGTGACGTATATATCGCTGAGAGATTAAGTGAAATAATAATTACGTGTATTTACAATATGACCATTTTTACAGTTGTATGTGGGGCTAAATTGTTACAGTTGAAGTCGGAAGTTTACATACACCTTAGCCAAATACATTTAAACTCAAATTTTCACAATTCCTGACATTTAATCCTAGTAAAAATTCCCTGTCTTAGGTCAGTTAGGATCAACACTTTATTTTAAGAATGTGAAATGTCAGAATAATAGTAGAGAATTATTTATTTCATTGGCCACTCCAATACCTTGACTTTGTTGTCCTAAAGCCATTTTGCCACAACTTTGGAAGTATGCTTGGGGTCATTGTCCATTTGGAAGATCCATTTGCGACCAAGCTTTAACTTCCTGACTGATGTCTTGAGATGTTGCTTCAATATATCCACATAATTTTCCTTCCTCATGATGCCATCTATTTTGTGAAGTGCACCAGTCCCTCCTGCAGCAAAGCACCCACACAGCATGATGCTGCCACCCCCGTGCTTCACAATTGGGATGGTGTTCTTCGGCTTGCAAGCTTCCCCCTTTTTCCTCCAAACATAACGATGGTCATTATGGCCAAACAGTTCTATTTTTGTTTCATCAGACCTGAGGACATTTCTCAAAAAAGTACGATATTTGTCCCAATGTGCAGTTGCAAACCGTAGTCTGGCTTTTTTATGGCGGTTTTGGAGCAGTGGCTTCTTCCTTGCTGAGCGGCCTTTCAGGTTATGTCGATATAGGAGTCGTTTTACTGTGGATATAGATACTTTTGTACCTGTTTCCTCCAGCATCTTCACAAGGTCCTTTGCTGTTGTTCTGGGATTGATTTGCACTTTTCGCACCAAAGGTACATTCATCTCTAGGAGAAAGAACGCGTCTCCTTCCTGAGCGGTATGACGGCTGCGTGGTCCCATGGTGTTTATACTTGTTCATCTGTACAAACAATAGTACACATGGTACCTTCATACATCTTGGAAATTGCTCCCAAGGATGAAGCAGACTAGTGGAGGTCTACACAATTTTTTCTGAGGTCTTGGCTGATTTCTTTTGATTTTCCCATGATGTCAAGCAAAGAGGCACTGAGTTTGAAGGTAGGCCTTGAAATACATCCACAGGTACACCTACAATTGACTCAAATGATGTCAATTAGCCTATCAGAAGCTTCTAAAGCCATGACATCATTTTCTGGAATTTTCCAAGCTGTTTAAAGGCACAGTCAATTTAGTGTATGTAAACTTCTGACCCACTGGAATTGTGATACAGTGAATTATAAGTGAAATAATCTGTCTTTAAACAATTGTTGGAAAAATTACTTGTGTCATGCACAAAGTAGATGTCCTAACCGACTTGCCAAAACTATAGTTTGTTAACAACACATTTGTGGAGTGGTTGAAAAACAAGTTTTAATGACTCCAACCTAAGTTCCGACTTCAACTGTATTACCTTTTTTAATGAAGTGATCATTTAGTGTTTAAGGATATTAAATTATATTTAGATGATCTACGATATATCATTTGAAGAATCACTGACAATGCAGTGTTGAAGTTACTTGTGTCTTGCATTTCTGCAAAAACTAATGCTGCATATAGTGTACAGCTTTTCAAAATTTCATTCCAAGACCAAATATTCATTCACAACCATTCAACATTTAATCTCGTCCACCAGCCAGCTCTCTCGGTTGCAATTGAGCCTGGGGACGAGGTTATTCAACATCCAGAACTGCCATTTTACTGATAATAAACAGATGCTTTGCAGCCCTTATAGAATGTATTTTTATTATATACACTGTAGAAATGTAGGCTTAAATTATTTACTTGGGCAAAAATTCCTGGACTGGATTTTGACTAATTGCAGTACCTAAGTGGCTTGAAGATTGAGCTTTTGGTTATGTGGTCTTATTGATTACTGGGTTTGTAAATTATTTAAATTTTAACATCTTCAAACATTAATCTCAGCCAGTTAAATGAGATTAATCAAAACTTTCACTGTGATTCTTATCTATGCTGTTATCTTCCCGCTACTCTTACAGGAGTGTATGAAAGCTAATATACTGCAGCGATAATATAATACGATTATATTTGTTGTAATCTTGAGTGGTATAATGTCAAACACAATATTGTATTGTAAGTGTATCTGAAATATGATAGGACTGTGGTGGATGTCAAAATGATGGTACACTCTTAGTCATGGTCACTATCATGTTTTCTATCCCAAATATGCCAGCCTCCCATCTTGATCTGTCTTGGGACAAATGTTAGTCGTCTGTATATCTTGACATTATATTCATTTTCTGGGTTTCTAAGTTTAGGGTTAGTCCATGTTTTGCTGTAAAATGTGTTGATTCATAGGGGGGCTAATTTTATAAACGTCTGTTTTTAATATTGTTGACACATGAGACAATCTTTTTAACTACAAACATGGTTCATATTTAACAAGCACAAGCACTGAGATACAGGTGTCAAACAGTTTATTGTAAAACCTAGAACAAAAGATTCAAGCAATAAAACTATACTTTAAGATACATTAATACTTGTATGATGTATGGTATTTCCTTAATCTGTATAGACTATTTTTTGAATGAGTATGTTACTTATAAAATTAGTTATTTGGCATATTTTTCAAATGACATGTACTGTATAGTGACAGCAATAAACTCACGTAAAAAATTATTCTGTGTTGGTTTCAATATATATTAAATGTTTCTATTTGATCTAATATAACCTTGCCAACCATTCAGGCCTGGATTCACAAAATGTCTTATCCTCTAAAAGGTTATTGGAAAAGTTGTTACATGAATTCTTATTTCTCTGGGCCCTGGTCTCTGCAAAAATACTAATAAAGCCTACTGCTGGCGGTCAGACGCTGTAATTGGTTGATATGCCACTACCATAGACGTTATGGTATTTGGTAGTTGAATGAGCCATAGCACTCTATATTGGCCTGAAATGGGGTCAACAATTTAACTGGGATTAGAAACATAACTCAACTGAGCTGATGAGACCAAAGTGAGCTAGTTAAAGACCATTAGGCCTAGCTTAATCTCCTGTCCGATAAATAGGCAGAGAGTAGATGCAAGGTCCCCAGTCTCTCCACACATGTTTTGGATGGATAAGCTGTGTTTTGTGTGTGTCCAGCCTATCAGGTCAACATGAAGACCTTTCCTCAAGCATTATCAACATGACTTATCACAGCAGCTAGTCTAAAAGCAGAGAACCACTAATCATGGCTGCTGCATAGTGACTG